TGTTTGCTGTAGGTAATTTTCTCAGGGAAAATACGTAAATGAAAATGACTTTTTAAGTCAAAAAAAGTCAAAAGGACAAGTTATTCTAAAAAGAACTGTCCTTTAAACAAAAAAGGACAGGTGGCAACCCTGGGTATTATTTCTGGAATGTAAATTTAATGGCAAATCTACAACTCTAGTTTGAAAATATGTTCCGGCTACCTATGTTTACAAAAATGTTTAAAATGTGCTGTACCATTGCCTCAATATTCTGAAAAAAAAAATGAAAGAAAAGTCACCAACCACAAACCTAATATAGAACTGTTTCGGAAGCCTGAGTCACCCTGTAAATATTCAAAAGTAACTGAAAGTTTATATAGAAGTAACTGAAAGTTTAAATTTAAAATCGACGTTGGAGCGATTTTCGAAAACTAACGTTTCAACATAAGTATATGTGGGATATTAAATATATTATTATATTAGACCTTATAACGAAACTCATCTGACGAAAAAGTGTTAATGTAGTATATTAATAAGGAGTAAAAATTTTACTAATTACTTTAGTTTTACTTTACTAATTAAATTCGTTCCAAAAAACGATGCGCCACTGGCCATTAGTACAATCCAAATGCGCCTAGTTGCCGGAGTCGGAAATTTTAGACTTCTCTGTCTCTTCTGTCCTTGTTTGACACATTGGAATGTTTGATACACTACCAACGAGTATTTATGAATGAGATGTTCGGTCTATCTTTATAATGTCTTTGGTTTGACCTGAGTAACTACAAATATTCTGGTACGACCCCAAAGAAAAGCCCATGAACTTTAAAAAAAAAGTTTAGTGCCGCAGGTTTTTGACTGTGTCTGGAAGCCATTACAATGTTGCCACCTCTTAGAGGTTATCTACATGCCTTTTTTATTAAAGTGTTTACAAATTTAAAGTAATTTTAATTTTGTACACAATGAATTACGAAAAAAAATTAATTATATCAGTAGCAGTATTATTCAGCTTTGGACCTTAAGCTGAACATCGATGAAACTAAACTCATTTGCACTCCCAATACAAAGCGGAGAAGAACTATTGGAATATCTAGCGGAATTTATTAACCTCGGCAGTTTGATTTCGGAAAAGGCCAATATCGACACTGAAATTCAGCTTGATTATTAAATCCAGCTTAAGATGGACTGGTCACTAGTGGTCACGCAGCAGTGTTTACAAAAAATAAATATTTTATTTTGTAGATTTTCTTACAGTGGCGAAATACCCATAGGACTTTTTTGGAGGGATGAATCCGCCACAGAGAGGTATAGACATTTTTTACAAACAAAACTAGTTGTAAGTTGTAACTCCGCTTGGTGGAAATCCCCCTTAAAAGACGTTATTTTATAATGGACATTGCTCAAGCATTCGTCTCATTTGCCAGCCAATAAAAATTACTTTATCTCGTCGATTGTACAACTCGAATTAATAAAACCATTAAAAACATGTTAATCCAAAGCAGAAATCCTTGCTGCTCGCGACGAAAAAGGAAATAGTACGCGTGGGCCAGCGAATTTGTTAATGAACGAACCAGCAGCCGGAGTAGCACCACCACGTTGCACAAAGGAGAATAGAAAAATATCGCTCATTGATATTACTGCGCCTAGGCATTTCATTAACAAATAAGTGTTTACAATATGGCCGGCCTTGGGTATTACATACTAAAGCGACGTGGGCCGGTGATCCGTTCAATTCATAAAGTCGAAAGTTGTTCAATGGATTGCCTGTCTATTCGTTGTAAAGCCCAGTCTACACTTGGCGTTTTACTTTCCGTTTTGTCGCTCAGTTAAAACGGAAGATCGTCTATAAAACTGAAGGCAGGTCTTCTATAGAAGGACTTCCGTCTTCTCTTAGTTCGTCTAGACATATTACTTACTATTACTGCCATACTCGTTGACGAGTATTTGACAGAAGATCGTTACTCAAGGTTTTTTCTTCCATGAGCTTTCGATATTCCCCCGATATTCCGGACATTCAAAAATTTCATTATATATGGTGGGCTCTTTACGCCTTTCCTTATTGTTAATAGAGTTTACAATTCTTCTCCATTGCGTTCTATTGTGCGCTGCTTCTTCCCACTGATTCTGCATGCTTATCCATTGGCGTAACTACAGGGATGACAGGGGGTGCCGCTCCCCCTAGGTACTGCTGGGACCCCCCAGAGAAATCCTGAACTATGACTCTTGGCTACGTATTAATTTTTATTTGCTTGTGATGTAGTAAAAATGACGTTTTCTGTTTTGTTTAGTTAATATTATTTTGTTGTGTTCAAAAAATGTGTTAATTTTTATTTTATTAGAAAATTTGTAGGTATTTAAGAAATCTACGGGAACACGGTTTGATAACCTAGACCGGTGTCAACGGAGCCAAGAATTGCCGCGTCCTTTTCTAATTCGAAGTTCAATAAAACACAAGTTTACTTAATTAGGATGAGTTGGCATAGAGGCCACTAGCTTTTAATTTTAACAGCCGGGTGGTCGGAGTTCAAAGATCTTAATAAAAGGGCGCCACGAGATTATACTCTATGAACTCGGCATAAAAGATGTTACTATTAAGTAGACTTCAACACTAACCTCGAACTGTTGAGTGCAGCTACCATGAACTTCAAATCTTACTATAATTATTTGAACTTAAGTGACTCTAACTTAACTATGAGACTAGACTGTAAATAATACTACTAAAAATGATTAAGCAATTTATTAAAATATTCAAAAGCTAATATATCAAGAAATTAAATTGAAGATAAATGAAAATAAATGTAAGTGAAATGACATTTAAATCAGTAAGAACTAAAAGTATGACGTCATAATCCCCCTTACTTAAAACCAAGTACATTATCCTGGGTGGACTACAAATATCAAACTAAATCTAACTAATTTCTAAACGATCTTACTCTACAGTGTAATGTCTTGAAACTTGAAACTATTCGGAAGTTCCTCCGTGTACAGCTATGGGATGGCTACAGCAGGGTACAGCAGCTCGGTGTACTGTCACTGGAGCCTTCAGCAAATGTACAGATACAGGTGTTTCAAATGGTGAACGTAAAAAACCCTCAACGAGGGTTTATGATGTCCAACGGGTACATCTACACGGGCAACAGGATGGGATTCTGGACTGTTCTGTGCTCTACGGTCTGGATCGGTCTTCTTGCTCTACAATTACGAACAACCAAATAAGATTTAAGAAAGATAACACTCAACTAATCTTTCTACACCACGTGGGCGTGGAAAAGTCGAAAACCAGTCAACAATACGAATAAAAAAAACCTCAACAGGTCCCACGTAACTAAGTTTAAATGGTCCTAAAATAAATCAGCTAAGTCCCAGATCGGTTGGGTGCCAAAAATTATAAAACAAATCAGCCCCAAAACGTTAAATCAGCCCTAAATATTAAATCAGCCCTAAAACGTTGGGCGCCAAGAATTCTAAGTCTATGAAATTTATTGATAGAGAAATTCATGTAAACGTTTTATTCAAAAAATGTGTTTTTTAAATTATTTTTCATTTTTAAAAAACAAAAGCCTTAGGTCCCCCCCTCCGGGCTCAACCCCAGGCCCCCCCACCCGGCCCACCCCAGGATGAATTGCTATAGTTACGTTAATGTGCTTATCCCTTTTAAGTTTTCGTGGAAAATATCCTTGTACGTTTTATATATACAGGGACGTTTGCGATATACAGGGTGTCCCATTTTGATTGAAATCATACAGTATCTCTGTTATTAGTGAAGATAGAAGAATGCAGTTTGCACAACCCTGTACCCTGTACCACTTTTTTGTCAAACAAAAGATGCTGTAAACAAAATTTTTATAGCCCTCTTCGTTTCTGAGCTACAGGGTATTTTTGAAAATTTTGCAATTTGGGACACCCCCCAGTATCTTTGTTACTGTAAAAGGTATCGAGAAGGTGAAATGCTTACGGTTTTATTTTTATTGGGATTTAATACTATAAAATTACTAATACTAATGAAATTACTTTTTTAGTCTATGTTATAGGCTAAAAAAGTAATTTTTAAGGTTTGCATCCTTTCAAATTATGCAGTGTTTCATCATATTCTTTCGTTGTTTGCTAGAGACGCTTGTTGGTGGTGCAGACTAGAAATGTATAAACGCCCACATTTTAAGCTAGAATCAAACCAAAAAATATTGTCTTCCAGGAGATGCATGATAGTTGTCCGTCATTTTATAAATTCACAGAAAAATTGTATTTTCTATTATTTTTTGGATGTCATCTCTCGAAATCTTTCCTTCCAGTGGGCAGATTTTACTGTAATATCATGAATTTCAACATCTGTGATAGAAGATTTTATAAACTTTATAAACTAAATTAAAATGAACTTTCAATCTACTAAATCAATATGAAATTATATTTTAAACAAATGTAAAAGCATTAACACAATTTCATTGATTGTATCTCATCTATTGCACGTATATATCATTATAACTGATGAAAGTAGGTCTTTATAGATAACAATAATACACATTTTCTATAATTTCTAGATTGTACACTGGTTCTACCTTATGGCTAAATACACATTTAATTATCAAAGCGTTAAAGGTCAATAATTATTTCTTCGTATATTTATCTACTCTCTATTCACCGTGTAATGTAAAATAACAACTTCTAATCAATCCACTTCACAAACCGAAGAAATCGTTAATAATCAATAAGCAATTGCCCGTTGGCATTCATGCACCTGTCCAAATAAATGACCTGAAAACTATATTTACCGAATTTTCCACGGTGTTGTAATTGATACTTTTAAATTTGAACGGAATTATTGAATTTACCATAAAAATAATTGTATAAATGTACATCCAAATATAAAAATTATAGATTTATTTTATTTACTTTCAAAATTCGTTTAGATTCGTACATATTTCGCCATCTATATGTTTACATTTAAACTCTGGTCTGTTTATACAAAAACGATTATAGTTCTCTTTTTTCTATGCCCTATGCAACTCTAAATACTTTGTTTATACGTCAAAACTGTCAAAAGTAAAATATGTCATCCAAACAAAATCAAAATTTTACATTATTTTATTTACAAAAATACTTTTAAAACGATTTCATATTTCTAAAAATTAGCGAATATGGATGAATCGAGAACAGTTTTTTGTGGAAATTTGGCACCAGAAGTAACCGAGGATCTTTTATATGAATTGTTTCTTCAGGTAGGTCCCCTGGAAAAAGTGAGGATTCCCACTGATCGAGATGGTAGAATGTCCAGTTTTGGTTTTGTTACTTTTAAACACGAAGTCTCGGTTCTTTATGCCGTAAATCTGTTAAATGGTATCCAGCTGTGTCAAAGGAATTTAACAGTGAAACCTAGAGCTGGACCAAATACACCTGTGCAAAGAAGTATTTCGTATCCCATGTCACATCAAAATCAAATGGACAATCACGACAGGTAGAGTTTTGATAAGCGAACTTAATATATAAATTTCAGATTCTTATAAGTATATAAATTTTATTTTAGAGAGTTACCATTTCACCAACAAAGTCTTAGTTATGATAATCTTCTAAACATGAGTCCAATGATGAATGTAAGTCACAATTACCACCAAACAAATTACAGAAACCAAAATAATAGACAAAATGATAACAATCTTGATGATAGCTTTTCTCCTCACCATGGAAATAATAGACATAAGCCACATTATAATGTAGAGAATCACTCGCGTGGTAATGATAGGAGGAATTTTAACCGGAGAAATGATTATGATAGAGAAAGAGATCATGATAAAGATTTAAGAAATGATTATTCCAAAAGAAATAATAACCGAAGAAACCATAACAAAAGATCAAATTTTGATAGGTATAATCCTAGAAGAAACAACAAAAATTATTAAAATAATTCAAATTTTAATATGAACACATATTTTTAGATGTAACTGCATTATCATAATGCAAAATGTGAAATAAATGTAATTTTATCAATGTATTTACAATATCTACAATGTTTTACATAAGTTTTTTAACATATCTTTACTATATTAAAGATAAAAAAAGTACAAAGTTAGTATTAGACAAGGTTCGTAAACTAAATAGACCTTGAATAGTGAAATAACAATTAAATTAGTTTTAAAAAGTTGTAGTTTGCTATTTCTGAATTTGTATTAACAATTTAATTGATAATTTCAATTAAATTTTAACGGCTGTTTTCTGTGAACCCTATTAAATATCCCACAAACCTAAATAAATTTGTGAAAATTTTTATTTTCTAATAACTAATATTTTAAATTTTCTTACACAAGATCATAGTCATATATAAATCATAATCGTATATGATCAAAAATTTGAATCGCCACAGATTCAGAGGTAATATAATCACAGCACACAATCCATTTTGCTCTGTTATAAATTCTTTGTGTTCAGTGGTTAAAAGAATATGACATTTGACGTTTTTTCTGTTTACATTTCTGTCGAAGTTTGTTTATATCCCAATTAAAAGTTTTTTCGATATTTTTTATTCATGCAAATTGCTTTAAATAGTGCACAATGGCATTTTCGAAGTACTTTTAATATTATTTTCAAGTAATAGAGTTGAATTAATTTGAGTTATTAAATTTTGAGGTCGTAATTTAAGCAATTTCTGTGATGAAGACTGATATAATTTACAAGTTATTAGAAACTACATTTAAAGATAATTATTATGTGTAGTGATACTGACGATACGGACGACTTGCTATTGATACCTCCGGATTTCTTTTTAGTTCATTCAGAACCAGAACCTCCTTATTATAGTATTGTAGACAATCTAATCAGACAAGTAAGTTATTTTTATTAAGAAAAGCACATACAAATAACAAATACATATATGCAGGTATCTAATTTACAAAATCGCATTGAAACGATTGAGACAACTTCAGATGTAAGTCTTTGTGGAAGTTATATAGATAACTCAATGGATATCAGAGACAATATTAACTCAACTAGACCAAGCACACGGCAACATTTCCTGAGTCAAGAAGATTTGTATCAGCCAAACAGTACACAGAGTACTCCTCAAAAAGCACGTGAAAAAATTAAACTAAATTCCTTACCAAATAGTCCTAATGTTAATTTGAGACAAAGATACTCAGTTAAGTTTAAATCACCACAAAGAAATAGTAAGAGGTAATGTAGAAGTAATTTTTTTTATTAATATTTGTATAATACAGGTTTAAATAAAGAAGATAATCCAGAGATATTAAGTGAAATAGATACATTTATTTCAAATGTAAAAACTATTGAAAGAAATAATACTGTTAGAAATTTAGGAAATGAGTTTAATTCTATGGGGGACAAACAGTTACAGAGAAATGTATTAAATGGTGATATTAACAGAAGACCATTAAATCAGAGTGTGAATAAAGATGTTAAGGACACTGTTGATCTTATTAGGAGACAATCTGAACAAAATGTTAGACAAGAACACCTCAATAATCAACATTCTGATAATATTGCCAAAGTGACAACATGGAGATGTGGAGATGATATAAGAAGTGTTCCTGATTATGGTGCAGGTATATTATAGATCCTATTGTATTTTTTTATATTGTCTTGACTAATAAATATTTTTTAGGAGTAAGAGATACATTATATAATCAAAAGTATCCTCAGGAAAACCATGTGAAACCAACTCAGTTGAAACAAAACTTTAATTCTACATCGTCTGGTACAGATTTTACATCTTACTCTACGTTAGACAGGTCTTCAGACAGTAGTTCAGATTCCACTCAAACCACTGCCTATAATAAGTACAAAAAACAGGAAGATTTTTGTAAGAAAAGTGCAAAAGTTGATCCATTTATTGTGGATCAGGAAAGAAATGAGCTTTTGCATAGTCCTTTACATTCAAATGCTTTAAGTGTTTTGAGTATGCATAAGAAATTGCTGAATAACAGTAATTCTAGTCATGAGAGACATATTCCGAAGCAAAGGTATAATATATTTTTTACTTATGTAATTTTAGATGTAATAACTGTAATAAATAATGTACATATTGGTATGGTTTCTGTCTAAATAATTGGAGTTTGATTATAAAATTCATTTTTTATTAAAATATTCAGGGAATAGTAGCACACCTTTCAAAAATATTGATATAAATATACAGATTGATTTAGATATATTTTACATTAAAATGTTATCTTATTTATAGAAGCTTAAATACAGTAACTGATAGATATGGCTTACTGAGTTTAGCAGACATATGGAGCTCAACTCACATGACACAAAGTCCCAGTAAACTGACTCAAAAACTCCAAGAAGAAAAGCTAAGAAGACAAGTCAGTTTCTTTAACATTATTTTTGCAAAAATTAATAATCAACTTTTTAGCATTGCGAACAATTAATAAGTGAGTTACAAAATAAGAATTTAGAGCTGCAAGAAAAACTAGCTGTAGCAATACAGGTTGATGAGAGCAAAAACAATACGATCCAACAATTTCAGGAAGCCTTAGAAAAGGTTTCCACAAGGATGGAAAAATTAAACGAAGAAAAAAATAGTTGGGATAAGGAAATTATGAAAATGAAAAATCATCATTCTATTGAGATTGATTCTGCTAATCAGGTAAAAAAAAATAAAATCAGTATTATATATATTTTTTTCCAACAAATTTTAGAAAATACAATATTATGAAAAGGAGGCATCAAAAGCTTTAAATCTAGCCCACGCTAATCAAGAAAAATTCTCGACATTGGAACGGAAATGCTCGGATTTGCAGAAAGAATTAGAAACTATAGAAAATAAATTCAGGGATGTGCAGGACAATTACAAAAAAGAATTTGATAAAAACAAAGTTCTGTCTGATATAATCAGTCAAAAGGAACTTGACCTGAAAGAAGTATTTGCTTTATTTTTTTCTTTTTGAACAAAACGTGTTCATATATTTTTTTTTTCAGAATAAGACTGTTTTAGTTAATGCTAGGGAAGAGATTGCTCAGAGTAGGAAAGCTGTAGAAATATGTCAGACTGAATTCACTTTGCTGAAAGATGAATGTGGCAAATTAGAGACTGAATTGAAAGCCAGCAAAAATCTTATTGCAGACCTAACTGATCAGAAAAAGAAAATGTCTATTGATATTCAAAGTTACAAGTCTAATGAGGTGAATTATTTTTTTAACCTTAAATTACATATTTTTAAGTGTCTGAAAAAGTTCTTTTTAAATATGGGAGCATTAGTAACATATGTTTTAAAAATATATGTCATAATCTACACTGAGTGAGCATATAAATTAATATACTGGGTATTTTTTTCCAATTTTGTCATAAGAAATCAAAGTTTATCTCATGATATACATACAATAGTTCAAATGTACCGATAAAAAATCCAAACATGTAACCATATCAAGTTTTCTGCCTGGATTTTCACTTCAATGTTTTTTATAAGACATACAGGGAATAGTAGCGCACATTTTAAAAATATTTTCATAGGTATAATATACAGATTGATCCAAATATATTTTTACATTATTTTTTAATGGAATAATAAAAAAAAATAATAAAAATATACTTTGTCAAGAAATTCTAAAGTTTTCGTCTCCTATTATGAAGAGACAATGTTGATTAATGCACTGAGGAATTTATTTTGCAGCTTTATTTCATAATAAATCCAGGTAGTTCAAATGTACTAATAACAAAATCCTAAAATGTTCCATATCAGCTTCTCTATCTGAGATTTTTTAGCCAAATCTTTTTATAAAACACAAAAGGAATAGTAGCGCACATTTGAACATATTTTTATAGGTATACAGAGTGATCCAAATATGTTTTTATATTATTTTTTTAATGGAATACTCTACTTTGACAGGAAATTCTAAAGTTTTCGTCTCCTATTATGACGAAACAATGTTGATTAATGCACTGAGGAATGTATTTTGCAGCTTTATTACATAATAAATCCAGGTAGTTCAAATGTACCAATAACAAAATCCTAAAATGTTCCATATCAGCTTCTCTATCTGAGATTTTTGAGGCAGTCTTTTTATAAAATACAAAAGGAATAGTAGCGCACATTTACACATATTTTTATAGGTATACAGAGTGATCCAAATATGTTTTTATATTATTTTTTAATGGAATGCTCTACTTTGTCAGGAAATTCTAAAGTTTTCGTCTCCTGTTATGAAGAGACGATGTTGATTAATACACTGAGGAATTTATTTTGCAGCTTTATTTCATAATAAATCAAGGTAGTTCAAATGTACCAATAACAAAATCCAAAAATCAGCTTCTCTATCTGAGATTTTTTAGCCAAATCTTTTTATTAAATACACAAGGAACAGTAGCGCACATTTAAAAATATTTTCATATGTATACAGAGTGATCCAAATATATTTTTGCATTATTTTTTTCATGGAATTATTTATGCTGTGTCACGAAATTCTGAAGTTTTCGTCTCCTTTATGAACAGACAATGTTGATTAATGCACTGAGAATATATTTTACAGCTTTATTTAACATACAAAATCAAGGTAGTTCAAATGTACCAATAACAAATCCAAAAATGTTCTATATCAGCTTTATATCTGAGATTTTTAAGACAATCTTTTTATAAAATACACAAGGAATAGTAGCGCACATTTAAAAATATTTTCATAGGTATACAGAGTGATCTAAATATATTTTTGTATTATTTTTTTCTTAGAATTCTCTATGCTTTGTCAGGAAATTCTAAAGTGTTCGTCTTCTATTATGACGAGACAATGTTGATTAATGTACTGAGGAATGTATTTTCCAGCTTTATTTCATAATAAATCAAGGTAGTTCAAATGTACCAATAACAAATTTCAAAAATGTTCTATATCAACTTCTTTATCTGAGATTTTTTAGCCAAATCTTTTTATAAAATATACAAGGAACAGTAGCGCACATTTTAAAAATATTTTCATAGGTATACAGACCGATCCAAATATACACAATACACACTGACATTAAAAGTTTAGTTTTTTTTAATAGAATGTTCTATACTTGATTTATCAGGAAATTGTAAAGAGTGTTATGTGGGACAATATAGGTTAAAGCAACAGATAATTTATTTTTGGGTTTTTTGTCTATTTCTCTCCATAAATCAAAGTAGTTCTAATGTACCAACAACAAAAACGAAAACATCAGTTTTTCTGTTCAATATCTTTTGATTGACTCAAATCTTTTTCATAAAATACTCGGAGAATAGTAGTGCACATTTGAATATTTTCAGACATATGTACAGGGTGATTCAAATATACAGGGTGAGTTTTAAAAGTGCAAATATTTTCAGGGCTGGTAGATCTCGATAAACGAATCATATGTTCTATTTGCCGTTTTTCAAATAAATCTAAAATAACCGGGATATTTTACTTTGAAAATTTCCAGAAATGATTTTTTGCTAAAATTTTGAGGACCACTGGATCTTTTCTGGATTTTCTGCTAAATTTAATCTACTACCTACAATATGTTGCCACATTCTCAACAAATTATATTTTTTAATTAAAAAATATAATTACAACCAAACAAAAAATTTCCAAATTTTTTTTTCGCCAAAAAACTTCATAATCGTGTTTCTTTCTGGGGTCGAAATATACTATCCCTAAAAATATTTGCATTTATTTAAGACTCATCCTGTATACTTACACCTGCATACTTTCTTCATATTATCTTCTTATACTTTGTAGAAAACTCTAAAAGAAGCTTTGGAACAGTCTCAATCAAAATTGGAAAGTACAAAATTAGAGTTGAGGAACTTTTATCAAGGCCAGTTAGAACTTATCGTAGAGAACAAACGAAAAGAGATGCAGGGCCAGCTAGATCAAGAAAGACAGAAAAATTTGGATGAAATAAAAAGAAAAGAATTATCAATGGCCAAAACAGCGGCCAATCATATTAAGGAAATTTCTGAGAAGTACTTATTTTTTATATTTTATTTATTTACAATATGATTTATAAATTAATTTCTTGTAGATGTTCTCTAGAAATAAAACTCCTTGAACAAAAGCAGCAAGAAGAAATAAGACTGTATGAGATACAAGCGTCCCAATATAAAAAAGAGATTGAAAACCTTCAGACGAAGTTAGCAAATTTGCCAGAGAAAAGGGCTCAGATTGCTAAGCAACTGCAGAAAGTAATGGAGAGTCATTGGGATGAAGCCCTAAAGATGATAGGGAGCAGCCCTTCATCATTTAATGATAATCAGGTATGTAGTATTATTATTTATTTTCAGAACCTCGCAATTAGTGGAATAAATTAGTGGTTTCAATTACACTTTATACTTTTTAGTTTACGATCATTCACAATGTTTAAAAAACACAATTAAAATTAATAGGATGTCCTGGCAACAGCTTGCGTTAGTCAGTTGTATCCATAGAGAAAGCCTAATATTTAGCTTATAAAACAATCATCTTTTGATTTCTAACCACAATTTCTCTTGACGGAAGATAATCAAAGGCCAAAATGACATTTCTCGCAAATTTTGAAGTATAATTAGTGGAAAAGTTTAAAGTTTGATAACTTTTTCTACTAATTGAAAATGTCTACCACTAATTTTGACGTTCTGAACGCTTGCATTGAAATTAAAAGAACAAATTTCTACGCTAATTGAAACCACTAATTTATTTCACTAATTGCGAGGTTCAGAATGAAGCTTTAGGCAGAATTAGGGATGGGTAAATTTCATTTTTCACCTTATGTTGAAATTTCATAATGAAATTTTCACTGAAAGATTGAAATTTTGGAAATTTCAGTGAAAATTTCAAAATTTCAATTTTTTAGTGAAAATTTCATAAATTTACTGAAATATTGGCAATTAAATATTTCACCTTGGAAATTTCACTGAAATTTCATGAAAATTATGAAATTTTGAAAAAAAAATCATATAAATGAGGTGGTGAATATAATTGGCGTATGGTGAAACACGTCATTATTTTTAGCTGTTCCCGAGTTGTAATGGTCCCTTTTAGTTGTAATTTAATGGATCTCGGCGTTTTTATACAATTTTTTACATGTTTTTCTAAACGAGTTGCATTTGTAATGAATTTCATTACAAAATATGCAATTAACTTTTTTGGTATTATTTTGATCACTAGAGAAAAAATATGTCCAAATACTATTTTTGAGCTTAACCATTATTTCTTTAAAAATTGCAATCAACACAGAACACAGGTCACAGGTAAACAGGCCTCAGAATAAACTTTATGAAATCTGAAACAAAAAAAATGCACAAAAATAACAAATCTAATAATACATCAACATTTTCAACGAAAATCATAACCTCTATCTACTGCGGTTTTCATTTGTCAAGATCAAGTGCCGGTCTTCTACAGACGCGCAACCAAATCCAGCAAATCAACGATCGATACCTACGTCGATACGGTAACATACGAACACGATAAAGGAGTTCGCGAGGTTTATGAAAATTACACTTGAAATTTCACCTGTGAGTTGAAATTTCACGATACATTCCTGAAAATTTCACCTCTGTGCTGAAAAATTCGAATTGAAACTTTCACTTGATATTTCAATGAAATTTCACTCTTTTAAAATAGTGAAAATTTCACATTGGAAAAGTTGCCGACATGAAAATTTCATTTGAAATTTTCAAGTGGCACAACCCTAGGCAGAATGAAACATAGTAGCATTAGAAATGAGTCGATGATAATTTCTGACAGGTTGACCCTTATATAGCAAATTTGTTTTTTGGTACACTTATTCTACAAACCATCCAATATTTTTCAGGTCGCCAACACCTTGCATAATGTATCCAAGAAACCAGCAGAACCGTATAACAGAAGCTCAGATCCTGAACGCTATCATCAAATGAGACCAGAACATTTTGAAAGCGTTTCAGATTATGAGGAAACCCCAGTCTCAAGCAGAGGCGTTAAGAATTCGGAAAGCGAAATACAAAAATATATTAATATGGTAAGTCTGTAATTCATTATGATTTTTAGGTGCTTGAAAAGTTGATCTTTTTTAATATCTTTTTTTTTGGTTGTTTTTTTTACCCTTGGCCATTGTATTATATACTCATGGTATATAATATAATAAGGGTATTACTTTTATTTTCTTTATTGTCCGAGCAAAAAAAAAACCATACACTTAATGTCCAATTCATCAAAAACTTTCTTATTAGATATATTTTCCAACAATTTGTGAATTCAAATAAAAATGTCTTTGTTTTTCAAGCCAACAAAATTTTCTTTGCCTGTAGGACACCAGTAGTTTCATGTGTCTGATAAACAAGATTCCAACAACCCTCTTCAAGATATACACACTCTATTTAGTATTTTTAAACCTTGTATAACTGTCACAATAAATAATTAAAATTATATTTTCTTTTAATTTGAGTTTCGTTCGGCTCTGATTTTACTCGTACCCCAATAGTACGAGAGCTAACAACGTCGGAAAAATAAGTATTTTAAGACATCTGGCTCTTTGATATAGCTTTTACTATGCTCTCTAGAACAGCATGCGGCCCGTCTGGCTGCCGGTAAACGTTGCGTTCCCTACTGCGCATTGAAAGAAGATCCTATATTTTTATTAGTCCTTTAAATTCTGGTATTGAATATTAATCGAACATGTCTCCATAGCGCAGTGCGTAGAGTTTCCGACCACGAACCGATGATTCAGAGTTCGAATCCGGGTCAGGGCAAAGACTTTTTTATTTTATTTTCGTTTATATTCTGATAGTAAAGAGCCAGACGTTTTAAAATACTTTCTCGAAAACGTTGCTAGCTTTTAGACTACAAGGTTCATATTTTTTTTATTAAAGGAAATGGTTTATATAAAACCACTTGTATATGAGGGTAGTCTGAAGAGTTTCCGACCTAACCACCAAGCAAATTTTGTTGCATTTTCATGCACTAAAATTTGCGCAATTTTTGAACGGCCCAGTCATTTTCGATGGTTTAACAGTATTAAGTGGTTAAAAATATTTGTTTTTGAAAGACAATACTCCTATGCACCATCATTTACTACCTTGATAGTTTGTTCACAAGGAGATTAATGTAGAAAAAAATACATTTCCAAAAAAATGTTTTGTATCAAGAGGTTATTTTGGAAACTTTTCATACTGTCCTTGTATTAGTCCATGTTGCAACGAGACATATGTCTCAACGGTAATAAATTTCACTTTCAGTTGTTAAATAGACCACCAGGACAGCCTACGGAAGAACCACCGCAAGAGCCGAGCGGTTCTCACCATAATAGAGCAACTTGGCATCACGGTGTAAGTATGTGTTAATTTATTATTTCTTGCTCACGTATACTAATTTCAAATATTTAGGACCAGGAAAACCAAAGTAAATGGGATCAAATGCCTGCAACGTATTCCAAAGAGAAACCAAGTGGAAAGCCACCTTGGAAATGAAGTGTGTTCATTTTTTTGTTCAATTTTTGTGATCTAAGAGTATTTTTTATATTATGTTTATAGCGATATAGTGTTAATTAATTTCAGTTCTAAGCAATAAGATATTCAAAATGGCCAGTTACTTAAAATATAATAAAGAAAAAAGAATCTCTTTTAATTTTGACATGTCCAAGTCATTAAAATAATATTATTTTGTCTTCTTAACGTTCAGTGCTGCCTATAGCAAATCCAAAAAATGTATTTCAGATAATTACAATTTGTTTTGATGTCCGCGCCTTTATTGAACATCCTGTACAGGGTCCGGCAATAGTGCATCGGGCATCTGTAGCTCCTAGAATAAAAAAACTTTGTGAATTTTGTTTAAGTGCAAACTTAAAGTATGTACTAGGATGTGTTTCACGAAAATATTTTAACTTCTATAGGGTGGCTCAAAGAAGTGTGAGTGGATCGGGATGATTTTTTTAAATGGAACCCCCTGTATATTATTGCATTTTTGGCTTCTTTTCAGATCTCTTTACATAATCCTAAAACATGAGTAAATATATTTCGATAATTTCAGAGATATTAAAAATAAATAAATAAAAATTATACATATATTTTTCAGCCTTTTTAAAAAAAATATTAAAAATACAAGAACTGTCCTGAAATCAAAACTATATTAGGTATTTACTTTAGATGGTCTGTACTTACTTTGTTATAAATATCGAAATAGTAAATCATACAGGATGTTCAAAATTCTAGGCCAAACTTTCTAAAATATAAAATAATTTTTCTTCGTTTTTTTAAATGACCCTCGATATTATACTTTCAATAGATGGAGAATTAATATTTATTGTATTTAGAATATTTCAAACTTTTTAACGTTTCCGCAGATATTCCCGATTTTATATTTTATATGGTATGTTCCACAGTAAATTTTTATCAAAGCCACCCAATTTTGAAATACTTTAAATACAAAAAATGTTCATTTTTTAAAAATAATATACAGGGTGTTCCATTAAAAAAAACATCCTGTATGATTTACGATTACCATATTTATAGCAAAGTAAGAACAGGCCATCTAAAGTAAACACCTAATATAGTTTTGATTTCAGAACAGTTCTTGTATTTTTTATATTTTTTTTAAGAAGGGCTGATATATATATATATATATATATATATATATATATATATATATATATATATATATATATATATATATATATATATATATATATATATATATATATTTTTGATTTATTTTTAATATCTCTGAAACTATCTAAATATATTTACTCATTTCTTAAAATTATGTAAAGAGATCTGAAAAGAAGCCAAAAATGCAATAATATACAAGGTGTTCCGTTTAAAAAAAAATCATCTAGATCCACTCTCACACTTTTTTGAGCTACCCTATAGAAGTTAAAATATTTTCCTGAAATACATCATGGTACATACTTTAGGTTTGCACTTAAACAAAATTCCCAAGTTTTTTATTCTTAGGAGCTACAGATGCCCGACGCACTATTGCCGGACCCTGTATATGAATAACTATTGTGTCAGAATTTAAATTTTCTTTTAGTTCAGTGTTATCTATCCGTGTCCAAAGCCTTCTGGATTGATCATACTAAAAATAATGAATAAATCTTTATTTTTTTATCTATAATTAATTTTTATTTTGCGTCGGAATATCTGTTTGCATTGAATAGAAAAAAACAATAAAGTTTTTGCAAATACAGAACATTGTTTTATTTCTTCTCAACAGAAAAATAAATTAAGCATACATACAAGATAAAGACAGTTCGATACTATTTTAATTATTTAATGCAAAAAAATTGTGTTAAACCAACACAGCACAGAAACAAATTTTAAAAAAATATAATGAAAAAACGTGTAACAAATCTCGAAAAAAAAACAGCACCTCACTAAACGTATTATCTTAATCCAATGAAATTGTATTTACACAGGATAATAACCTTATAATATTAAAATGAAAAATGTGTTCATTCATCGAGGGTTATTCAAAGATCTATAGACTAAATATAGAACAAACCTTACAAAAGTAAATATAAATAATAAAAAAAAGAAAAAGGTAATTATTGGCAAAACTGGAAATCGTCCGATTTTCACCAAAATTGGTATACACCCTATTTTGAGGTCGTAGATTACGAATCTGAACGTTTCTTCTGGCGGTCTCTTACCGTTTTTCAGAAGAACGAAAAATTATTTCAACATCAAATTTTTCTTAATTTCTCATATTTTTAAGGTTTTCTAGCACATATTTTGTTAGGTATTCAATAAACAATGATGTTATTGCTATTTTCTGTTACTGTTTTAACCAATTCTATGCATAATAGAAGAAAATTTGCTAAAATAAATTTGTAAACAATCTGAAAATGTTGGGTTATGTTTCTGGCATTTAAAGCAACGTTGCCAATGCTAAACCTAAATTTAGCGTCTTTTTCGCTTATTCTGGGATTACGAAAGGCGGTCGCCAGAAGAACGGCTCCTTTCCATAACTGCTATTTTACCAACGAGATCTGACTATTTATAACCACGAAGTTGCACGAAAGAGTTTTGATTGCATTGGTTACAACTTCCGTGCGGAGGGTGTTAATCTTTTGTTGTTGTATTATACCAAAAAAAGATTAACCCCCTCTGCAAAGAAGTTGAAACCAATGCAATTAAAACTCCTTCGTGCAACTTCGTGGTTATAAATAGTCTTTATATAACTTCTTTGCGGAAGGAGTTAATCTTTTTTTGGTATAATATAACAACAAAAGATTAACACCCTCCGCATAGAAGTTGAAACCAATACAATCAAAACTCTTCCGCGTAACTTTGTGGATATAGGTAGGTATATTTAACTATTGTCAGATCTCATATTAGGTAATTGATTTAAAATGCCTAATCACCCGAAAAAATAGAAGATATGGCAACGTTGTAAATTTTCAAATTTCTAGATTAGGTCTAGAATATATTTGTCTCTCTCATTACGTCGGAGAGAGAAAGAAGGATATATGAAATGTCAAACTTCCATCTGGTCTCAATTTTCTTTGTTATTTTGTTAAGAAAAGTGTTTTTCAGTAAAATTTTGGACATTTTTCTATCCTCAATCAAGTGTGGCTTTTAGATAAACTATAATATAATGAAAATATAGTGAAATTATTACTTTATAGGACCGAAATAAAGAAAAATTCAACGTTGAAATTATTTCCCGTTTTTCTGAAAAACGGTAAGAGACCGCCAAGAAAAAATTCAGATTTATAATCTACGACCTCAAAATAGGGTGTATACCAATTTTGGTGAAAATCGGACGATTTCCAGTTTTCCCAATAATTACCAAGAAAAACTAAAAAACATGTGATCTGCCTCAAAACTAAAACTTTTATTTCGAGTGTGGTTTTGTGTTTGTGTGTGAGCATGTGCATGCACGTGTGACCGTATGAAAAATTAGAAAATTAGTCACTTCTTCCCTGCAAATTCTTCACTACACTGAGCAGTCTATTTGAGGCGATTTTTAGCTGCGGATTTACTCAGAGAAACTCTCTCGTTTTTTTTAAATACAAGCCATAAGTATTTTATTCTTTTTGTTTCTGCATGTTTCGGAAATCGATAAATCAATAAAAAAAAATATTTTAATTAAAAAACAAACCAGCTTACTTTGTTCTTTTTTGTGTAAATTTTAATACAAATGTTGAAAAATAATTTGCCATCATTTAAGAGATAAAACCAGTAATTCAAAACATCTATGGTAAAAAAAAACAGCCTCACATTGGCCTACAAAACGTCTAATATTTTCCATTCATAATATGTTCAGGGTGGGTCAAATTGGACGCTTTTAAAGGGAAACGCCCTTTTCTATAGAAGATAGACGAAAACTAATATCAGTGTCTGGAGCTCAATTTTTATCAAAAACATGATGGTGAAAACCCCACGTCGATATCTGTTACCGTTTCGGAGTTACGGGGTGTTTTACAAAAAACGTGCATTTAACAAATCGCTGTAACTTTTTTTGTATTTTTATGAAAATATTTTCAAAGCAGCTTTATGCGTAAAATTAAATGGTTTAAGCACAAATTAACTACAACAGATGCGAAAGAACACCGAATTACGCGTTCAGGTTTCTGAGACCTTCAGAAAGAGTTCATAGACAATCCGCATCAATGTATAGTTTGGGTTATTATTTGTTTGGGTGAAAATAATCTGCACCAATATGTTATCGAGGCATATAATCTCACAGTAATTTAATAGATTGCTCGTCATATTATATCAGTTCGTAGGAGATTAGGAAAAAAAGATATTTATAGTATAAAAAATTAATTTATTTAACAAAATTTAATTAAAGATGTGACAAAATAGTTACTTTTCTATTGGTTCTATCGGACTTTTTTCGACTATATAAATCTTTATTTTTTGTAAACTTGAATGCATAAAATATTTTCAATCTAATAAATAATTTAATGATGTAAAAAGAGGAAATTTCTCACATGGGTGGTCAAATTCTATAGTTTTCATTATATCAAACAGCCTCTGAATGTTTTCTTCAGTGCAAAACTCATCAAAATTTAATATAAATAATTTTTCCATTTCCAGTAAATAAAATGAACAAATTTTTCCACTTTCATGATCAAAGGCTTTTAAATGGGTAAATAATTTATATTATGGGTAAATAGAGCTATCCAGAGATTCGGATTCTTTTGGAAATTTTAGACAAATATCACATTGATGTATTTGAAGACCCTTTTAATTGATGTAGTTAAACATAATTAAAGGCATTTTGAGTTGAAAACATTTGTCAGAGGCTGTTTGATATAATGAAAACTATAGAATTTGACCACCCATGTGAGAAATTTCCTCTTATTTACATCATTAAATGATTTATTAGATTGAAAATATTTGATGTATTAGAGTTTACAAATAAAGATTTATATAGTCGAAAAAAGTCCGATAGAACCAATAGAAAGGTACTATTTTGTCACATTTTTAATTAAATTTTGTTAAATAAATTAATTTTTTATACTATAAATATCTTTTTTTTCCTTATAAATAAACACATTTGTATCCCATTTTAAATAAGATATACAAATTACCAAAACTTAGAAATAACAGTTCAAAAGTTCAACAAAAATCCTACACCCGTTTTTAAAAAGAAACATATAACCACGCACTATGTCATTCCAGCAAGCGAATACGACACAGCATAGGTTTCCGGACTAAACGACTGGTGTATTTACACCACTCAATAGGCGTGTGGGGTTTGCCGAGCGGTTTCCGATGCAGTCGCTTTCTTTCGCATCTGTTATAGGTAATTTGTGGTTTAAGTACATATTTTTTAAATTAATAATTTAGAAGTTATCAACAAAAAAAAATTGATTTTTATTTGGGATATCCTGTATATTCTTAGTTAACTGAAAAGAACTTAAAATTACCTTTCAAAATATATACTTAGACCATTAAATTCTACGTAAAAAGGTGCTTTGATAATGCTTTCATAAAAACAGAAAATTTTTCATAGCAAAAAAGTTACAGCGATTTGTTAAAAATGCACATTTTTTGAAAAACCGAAACGGCAACAGATATCGATGTGCGGTTTTTACCACCATGTTTTTGATATAAATTGTGCTCCAGACACCAATATTAGTTTTCGTCTATCTCCTACAGAAAAGGGTGTTTCCCTTTAAAAACGTCCAATTTGACGCACCCTGTACATTTGAACTACTATTGACATTTTTGAAAAATTTTAATTATTACTGACTTCAGTGAGCCAAAGAGCTATGGAAAGAGCCATGATGGGTATCAGTCTTCGCGACCACATTAGAAATGAAGATATTCGCCGACAGACGAGGATAACGGACATCGTAGAGAGGATAGCTAACTCTAAATGGTCTTGGGCAGGACACTTGGCCAGACAGTCCGAGGAAAGATGGGCAAAAAGACTTCTTTGCTGGAGGCCACGCCTAGCAAAACGCCCAGTCGGCCGACCTCCTAAAAGATGGACTGATGATATCCAAACCGTAGCCGGTAAGAACTGGATGAGGAGGGCACAGAATCGAAACGAGTGGAAGAAACTGAGAGAAGCCTACATTCTGGAGTGGATGAGTAATGGCTGAGAAGAAGAAGACTGACTTCAGACTCACCTAATTTTTTTAACCTGGGTTTTTACCAACTAATTTAAAATTTAAACGATGGCACATTTTTTCTCCCTAAAATATCACACCATATAAAGACTACAGCACTTATACACAAAAAAATATATTAAAATTCATTGAAATAACTTATATATTTCATTTTATCGATTTCCAATAGGAACAAAAAGCGGTTTTCTTAGTCTATTTCTAAATTAGAACATTAAAAAAATTAATAATAATAATAAAACAAAATGCTTTCAAGGTACACTACCTTGCAGGCAACTTTTCAAAGTACCGTTCGATCAAAAGAAGAAAAAAAACGCCGTCGTAATAACCTCCGCAATAGATTTCAAAGGTTACCACGACACCGTTTTTTTTCTTTCGATCGCGCGGTAAGATGGACCCAGAAACGAACTTTCGTAAGTAAATGCGCGCTCATAAATCACCCGCTGTTGACGATGACGATGTAAAAAATCGGTTCACAGAACCAAGACAGTCCGACGAATCGTCCGTGTGGCGGGCAGACGACCACCCTGGTTTGAATATTATTTCACTACTACTCTGGGAATTTGATACACTTTCGGGCTACGCAAACTAAGAGAAAATATTTGAAAAAAAAAAACACAAAGTCCTCAGCGCCTCTCGGTGTCGGGTCGCGTTATGTGACGCCGCGCGTGCGCTGTGACGCTTCTGCGCGATAGGGGGCGTTGTCGACGGACAGGTGGGGGCATTCGCTTAGTGTTTTAAAAAGGCTGTAAAGCTCTAAGTCACTTTTTGACGTGTGTTGATCCATATCTGGAGATTTTATTCATTCATAACACATACTTAAAGCTAATATATCTTGAGAATTTAGTCTACTGAATGTATTTTAAATATTTTTTGGTCTTTCTTTCATCTGTATTCATGAAACCGACGACTTTGATTCCTCAAACTGAAAAATTTATTTCGCCAGACAACGTTACGAATTTTAAAAACTTTGAACACGTAAAAATTAACTCAATGTCAATAAATCTAAAAACGTCACCTAATAGACATTTTCTCGCCGTTCTGAGTCAACGTGTCGATTTGGTAACTTTTAAGATTTACTGACATTAAGAGCTGATTCTCCTAGGATGTGTTTCAGGGATATATTTTTTGTAAAACCATGGTATACACTACAGTATGTCCCTTCATTGTCTTTAGAAGAGGAAAAACGTTTTTATTATTATCTTTTTGGAAGAAATCCATTCTTCATATAGTTTTTTTGCTTGGTCTAAAGTGGTCTCTCAATTCTGTTTATTACTTTAAAAATTCCCATACCGTTTTAGAGAAAAACAAAAAGAAAATGAAAATATAGTTGAATTTTCAAAAATCAAAACGCGTTTCTATGGCAATATCATTTTTAGGTTTTCATTCTTTGGTAGATGGTTATTATTAATTTTCAGTAACGCCATATTGTTTACCGTTTTAATTTCATTCCGTAAAAAATTCAACCATATTTTCATATTTTTCTCTAAAACAGAATGGAAATTTGAAAACATTTAACGAGATTAACTATTTTAGAAGAAGTAAAAACTTCTATGTAGAATGCCATTTTTCTCCAAAAGTTAATAAAGTTTTTCCTCTTCTAAATTTTATACTGTTCAATTTTCCAGTCAAACAAATTAAGGACATTTCATGACTACAAATGAAAAAGACAAAACCGTAAAAGATTTTCACAGAGGTAAAAAGTTTAAAAAAAAACACTCATAATTAAGCAACTTACAAAAATCATTTCAACAAGTCCACTCAAATGTGAACTAGATTCTTAATAAGGTTAAGTACACAATGTACAAAACAAAGACCGATATCAGAACTCGAAAAAAATAATTCCATAACCTACAAACTCGCGTTTAGTCCCCCTCCCCCTCCCGTCGACAATACCGCCCGCTATGTGTATCAGACGTAAAGCGCGCGCCGTTTTATCCACGGATCAGAGATGCGCGCACACCTAGGCCGCCGTCCCGTTCACCAAGGCTTCCTTGGGCTTGTCCCCGCCGCGGTCCGGGCGTCTGTTGCTCGGCGGAGGCTTGTTGGGGCGCGGTTTTGGACCTCCACCAGCGCCGCGCTCGGATCCGGAGCCGTTCTGCTTGATGTGGCCGTTGTTGTTGGCGGCTACCGGTGGTGCATCTATGTTGTCGGTGTGGTTGGACACTGAAACAAAGAAGTAGCTTGTTGAAGAACGAAATTCTCTCATGTCTCATGACTCTGATGTTCGTTAGGAAAAGGATTACTTCAGGTTGGAAGCGCTGATGTAAGTAGTCTATCCAGAAATATAATAGAATATTTCGAAATACGATAACCAAAAAAATCACAGAAAACAAAAAACAATCTTTTCCGTTTAGATTAAAATTAAGACAGACAACAACTTTCACTGTCACACATTCTACAGCTGGAAAGAAGTTGTATAAATTTAATAGAACCACAGTAATTAAAAACAAATTAAAATTAAAAAACACTTCAAAATAACAATACACAAAAACGTTATATTAGTGAAGACATCTTTTCGCAAGTATACTCAGTTTATTTTGACTATTATTATTACCCATTAATCCGTGTCCATACATAAACAAATTAACAACGAACATGTAAATTTTACAAAAGATGTCTGTCGATATTATCCACAACACATATATGATTCACATATAACATAACATGTTATAGTAAACGCCACGAATGTTTGGGAGTGATTCATCGGCGCTACCATGCCGCCACACTAATCTGCTCAAGGTCACATAAAACTTAATTCCAGTGTCGTGGTGTTTCAAGTCATATAATAATCAATATACAGGGTGTTTCAAAACAAATGCGAAAAACTTTAGGGGGTGATTCCTTGTTCAAAATAAAGGGTAGTTTGCTTTATAAACGTTGGGTCAAAAGTCAACCATTAGAGAGATATCGCGGTACAAAGATGGCGGAAAAATAATGTTTTTATTTTTTATCTTGAAACCGAAAAGAGATAGACTAATGAAATTTTATGGAAGCATTACTGTTATGAAAACACACTTTCTGGTAATTTTTTCACTTTTTTAAAATGAGTGGAAGGGGTTGAAATAAACTACCCCTATCATTCTTGTTAACAAAATTCAAAGAAAAATCTTATCAAACACATGCAAAAAAATTAATTTGGATAGTTTAGTTTGTTTAGAAACTTTTTTATCTCTTGTGTTTTTTTGATAAAACTCACCGATTTTTTTCAGTGATGAACTGAAATGCCCCATTGGTCGCACTGCAAGCACACCAATGGATTGACGCACAAAAACGAATCAATCAAAGAAACGTGATATAGTATCGTCTTTGTCAATCACGCTAACATTTTAGAATAAGTAGGAGGAGCGCAGGCAGATGATTAGACCGGGCCATTAAAAACCTACGTCTGCGGTAACAATTTACGTTTTTAATGTAAAAATGATAGCGCGCGTGTCGATTCTAATTTCATCAAGCGATGAATCAATCCCAAACATTCGTGGCGTTTACTTTATGCTACTCTTAGCTTTATAAACTACTTTTTCTTAATTAACTAATATATTTTGATTTGTTTAAAATGTGGACGTGAATGTAGAAACTACAATTATTTTTTATGTATCATTTTAAATTGGAATACAACATTTTACTGTTATCGTTGATTGAAGAAATAAGAAGATGCGCAACCTTATGAGGGATTTCGTGGCACAAAATATGTCCTAGATGTAGCTGGCGTTACCGTCAGGCTATCCGAGATTTAATTTAGCTCTGCGTTGCAGCGCGATAGTAGTTTACAGCGCAGCGGATAAAAAACACTGTAGCGTAGTTCGGCTTTAAGTCGACAGAGTGGGTGGTTGCCAGAACTAAGAATTAATCCGTAGGTTTACGGATTTGGGGTAAAGTACGTTAATAATACGGATTTTCTATAATTAAACAAATTAATATAATAATATATGATTAAACAAAGAAATGTGTCACAGACGGCTTGGAAATGAAGACCGCTGTTATTTTATATGTAAAACTAGCGTGTACCAGCGACTTCGTTCGGGTCGAATTAATCATTTGTAATGGTGATTATAAAGCAAAGCAAGAATTTCCATTAACATACAAACTGGATAAAATTTTCTCACATTTATGTCAGCATGAGAAAAAAACAATATGGCGATATTATTATATAACTTGGTAATATTTGAGGAGTAGTTTCATCTCGTTAGAATTTGACTTTCGAAAAATCCGTTTGCCAAAAATAAGCTTTTTACGTCAAGCAGTTTAAGCAGAATCGTGGTTAAGAAATTACCCAACTTTTTGGAACAGCCTCTATGATTTTTTAAAAAATTTCAAAATATGTAAAAAAACCAAATAAATTATGCTTGTCTAAGAGTTTTCCCGAAAGACTAACCGTTTTTTAAATAACAAATATTGTAATATTCGAGGGGCGTTTTCGCCCTCTTGGAATTTGCGATTATCGAACCCCTACACCCCACAGTCAATCCGTTTGCCAAAAATCAGCTTTAAACGTCAAGCAGTTTAAGCAGAATGGTGATTACTCAATGGTCATATTTTATAAAACACCCTGTATAAATTTATAAGAAATCTTAAAATATGTAAACAACAAAATAAAATATACGTGTTTTTTAGAGTTTTATAAGAGTTTTTCCGAAAAACTCACCGGTTTTTAAATAAAAAAATATTTTAATATTTGAGGGATAGTTTCACCCCCTTAGAATTCGAGTTTCAAAAAATCCCTTCTTATCGAACCTCTACACCCTAAAGTCAATCTGTTTTCCAAAAATCAGCTTTTTACGTCAAGCGCTTTAAGCAGGATCGTGATTAATCAATGACCAGATTTTTCGAAACACCCTGTATACATTTTTAAAAAATCTTAAAATATGTAAAAAAACAAAATAAAATATACGTGTTTAAGCGTTTTTTCGGAAAATTGACCGTTTTTTAAATAAAAATATTGTAATATTTGAGGGGTGGTTTCACCCTCTTGGAACTGGAATTTCGAAAAATCCCTTCTTATCGAACCTCTACACCTTAGAATCAACATGTATGCCAAATTTGAGCTTCTTATGTTGAGTAGTTTGAGCAGGATCGTGATTAATCAGTATGTCGGTCACTTAAGGATTTTATATATCAGTATAGATATTATGGTAAATGTCAATAATCGTCATTTCCAAGCCAACTAAGCGACTCTTTTCGATCATACGAAATATTCAGTACCTATAAAACAATTTTTATTTTTGTTGTTTATTCTATGTTTAACACGAAATAAATTTCAACACACAAACGCGGATTTTTCATCCAAAGATATTTTCGTCAAACGTATTACAGATATTACACATTTTAATACGGTAACACTGTCGCTCTCAGTTCCACACCGCCTTCGATATTCCTTCGCTGCGAATTTGCCCATTAGGTTGCGTATCTTCCCAATTTTTTCGCCGTTATAAAAACGCGATAAGGAATCTTAAAAAGATGGCATCTACAACTTGTCATATATAGGATGATATGCAAATTTCTCGACACAACGCTCCACACTTGACGCGCAGTAGACAGTTGCGCAGCTGATGCGCTTATAGAGATTATTTCCTATTTGCTGGTTTATAGAATGCTTCTACAGACTGGATGAAAAATTTTTACTTTTATTTCTTATATTTAGATACCTATGTATTTATTATCATTTATATTAAGAAAAATAATGTTTTTTTTTTGTAATATAATTCCCTTTTTAAAATTTTTAATTTAAGAATTAACTAACCGTTTTTTAATAAGAATTATTAAAAATGAATTAAGAATTAACAAAAGAATTTTACAAAACAATACGATATTGAGATGACAAACAAAATTAAGCCTCTTTTTGTCAATAAAGGAAAATCTTTGGTTTTTCTCTATCGCAAGTCCAGAAGCAATTTCTCAGGACTTACGACCGAGAAAAATAAAAGATTTTCTTTGATTTAAGTAAGAACAATCTTCCGACTGTCACAGGTTTTTTTAACAGGACACTCCAACACACACAGTCTCCCCAATGAACACCTAAGTAAAGTAAAGCTAAGAAAAAATGGCGAATGCAGATTCTGTAGGGAAAATGGGGAAACACCTGAAGACCTCATCACTGAGTGCGCTGGGACAACAACCATGGAGAACTAATCTCTGTAAAGCCGTCTCAGATACTGGTTTTTGTCAAAGTCCTGAAGGAAGCTATTTATTTTGTTCTCCGGCGGCAAAATATCATCCTATATCTGAAAAGCTGCACATAGCTCAATAAGACAGACAGAAGGGGACAGTGTTGTTAGTTCGTCCGCATTAGCACTGCACACCGCACAATCCTCGTGTTACTCTGTTAATTCCTCTCACCCTGTCTGCGCCTTACCTGGGACCACAGTCACCGTAGCCGGATCGTTATTGTTAAGCCGTGAGTCTTCCTGGGGCAGCTCGCCGCCCTTCACCGAGGCCGCCCTACGAGGCCCGCCTTTGCGCTTGCGTCGCCCGCCAGCTCTCGCGGCGCCGCCTCCGCCTGACCACGCGCCGCCCTCCTGACTAGAGATCGATTCTGCGAGTGGACGATTAGAGTCATTAGATAGAGTGGTGTGGCCGATGGACTGATGTCGACCGTAACGATGGAATTCGTTCTCGTGGTGGTGTTTTGAAGGTGAACGCACAGGGATCGACCGATATGCAAAGGGCGGTCCAATAGAGGACGCCAGCTGTAGCTCGAGTACCGGTACAGTTAAGTTCAAAAGATAGGCGCTATGGGGCCACCAATGCGGCATGCCAATATGCGAAAATACCAATTTCTATTAAATTTACCGATTTGAGATATGTTTAAAATATACATAACATTGTATTATTCAAGCAAATTTACTCATTTTTGCTTTAAGTCCCGTTTACACATAACGTTTTACCTGTTCGGTCAAAACGTATCAAGTAAAGCATCGTGTATAGACGAAAAAAAAAGGATGTTTTACTTGAACTAAATTAAGAGGGAAAACCATATAGAGCAGCGTTTCTTAACCTTCTTCAGTTTGCGGACCTCATAGGTACTTAACATTAACTGAAATGTTTTTCTCAACGTGTGACATTATTTTTTGTAGTTATGTTATTTATGGTAACCTGTTACATTCATTTAACAATAAAACCTTTAAGGCGGCCACAGACCTCGTTGTTTTAAGTGTTAATCGTCAAATAACACTGAGAAACATTTCATTTCAACAGATTGAAGTGTGTGTATTTTAAATAATAAAAAAATGAGTAAATTTGAAAATTTTGAGAAATATAATATGTTAGAATGTTATATTGGGTCTAACAAACATAAACAAATGGCAGCTGATTTATATTTTGAGCGGTATCCAGAACGCGAGCAACCAAACACATCCATTTTTAAAAGGTTAGCAGATAGTTCTATCAATTTTGGATCTTTTCAAAAACCGAACGATTGAGATTGAAGTTGACGAACCCACGATTAAGATTTCAAGCAAAGGCAGAAATTTTCACGGACGGTGATATCCGTGTTGTGCCACAGGCTATCAGTTTTAATCGTCTTTGCGAATCGCGGCAATTAAAAATGACTAAAAAGAACGAAGTCTGTGGGACACGATAATTGAGTATACTCGTATAATCAAATGTTACTGAAAATACCAATAATTTACATACATAACTTAAAATAAATCTTAAAACCCTAATACCCGACACTGGTGTGGTCAGTCCCTGAAAATATCTTTACGACCTATTATTATATGAGCAACCCCTATTATTTTCGGCAAACGTACCGGATGTGTCCATCTAAAAACGTGTTAAAGCCTTCTGAATTTCATTGGAACATATACCCTTAAAATGAAATTGGTTCCATATTTTGGCATGTCACACTGTACACAACAAAACGCCTTTTGCATTTATAATGAACGTCTTGTGCTATCAAGCATTAAGAAATAGACTATATTTCCTTTATTCATCTTACCTGCCTTTTAACTCAGAGGTAAAAATATCTAGACAAGACTAAGACAGAAGGCATGATGTCAGTCCTCTAGATGGTCTTCCGTTTTAACTGACAAGTAGAATAGTATGTGTAGACGGGGCTTTAGGCAATTTTGATCCGTTTTAAGAAATAATGTGGCGAAGGAAAGTTAAACATTTTTACTTTCAATAGTTACTATGATAAAACGTTTAAATAAAATACCCTACATTTGACATGACATCAAAACTATATCAGTCGATCCCTGATAAAATATTTAAATATGTAGATATCTTGTCAATTTATACAACCAGTTCATTCCCTTTAGTGTGCATACGTTGATTATTATTATTATTAAAGATCGTTACAATCAAATATTTGAATAAATGGATTAAGGAATGAGTATAATGCTACATCATGACTCAACACTATGACACTTGTGTTTGAACGATTTAATTGACAATTTGATTTAAGCTTTAACGAGAGAGAATTTGTTGGACTTCTCCGAACTTATGTTATTTATTCTATAATTTGTTTTGCTCAGAGGTTCTAAGTTCAAATCTAGAATATTGTGTCAGAACTTAAATTAACAGCGACATTATTGCGAATTAACGATAAGCACTGTAAATAGTTGAAATTCCCTTACTATTAACTAATTTATTTTTTCTTGCATTTTCGCTTTTATTTACTACTTCTCAAAAAAATTAGGATACGTCAATTTGACTTACGTGTTTCAGTAGCGTATCTGGTATTTGTGTTATTATTATGTGTTAATTATATCTATTTTTATTAGAAATATATTTTTAACAATTTTAATAACTAATAACATTTAGGGACAATATAAAACAAAACCAACAAATTATTGAGCCTATCCTACATAATATTGATACACGGTTTAAAATAAAAATTTAAGTCAGCCATATTAATGCCCCACCGCGCTCTAAGTTTGTTGATATGCTCCTTCCTTAACCTTTATTCAAAGAATCAAATATATTTAGAGTAGGTAACTGCCAATCGTAGGGCATCAAAGTTTTTGTTTTTATTTGTATAAATAAACAAGCTGTCTAGTTTTATTCGTCTATGGACACTTCGAAACTCACCTCTGTCCGCACTGGACACTTCCTGACTGTCCAAAACCGTTTCCTCGTCGTCGTGGTTCCTGCGTCTGTCGTCGCCGTGTCTAGGGTCGTTCCTACGCAGCGGCCTCCTGTCATTTCTGGGCCCGTTGTATCTGCCTCCGTACCCCCTGCGCTCGGAGAAACGGTCATCGGAATTGTCCGGTGTCTGGTGACGCATATCTGAGGACAACAATTATTATTGGAATCTGTCCAAATGAGAGCATACATGAGAGTGACAGCTCTTTTCTATCATTTTAATTCATAGGTATATTGTAATTTTTGTCCTTTCTTCCTTTGAGTCGGCTTTACTTAACTGTTATTATATTTCTCAGGTAAAAAAATAAATATAATCGATATCAAATAAACTTTTTGTTACGTCATCTAAGGCGCGATTATTAAATTCATTGTTGCCAACTATGGATATATTCGGCGCCGGTCTGACTAATTGGAATTTAAATTTCCCGCTGGAGATGCAGGTGGTAGCTCTGCTATAAAAAATGCCAAATTGCCACATTTATTTATTTATTTCCTGACATTTTGATTCGTTTTGACACATTAGTTTGGTATTACGAGTTTTTGGTTTAAGTAAAATGTGTTGTAGTACTTTAAGCTTAATTTTTTTACTAGCAGACCTTGCTCTCGAAAACTGTTCTTTTTAGAACCGCTTGTAGTGCGAAGTGTACAAGATACCGAAGCAGCTTAACAATCGTTGCAAAAAACTCATCGCAACCTTATTAGAATATATTGAACGGAAAAGTGGTAATAATGGCCCTTTATGTCCGTGATGTATGTGAGTTCTGTTGATGTAAATAATAACTGTTTATATATTTATAATTCATTTTTGTTTCCTAAAATATTTTAATTAAAAGAAAATATGTAAAAGTGGGCAACGCTGTGCCGGTCGAGCTTAATCACGTGATTAAAAGTTTATTTAGTACGATCTATATATACAGGGTGAACCATTAGTGCGAGGAAGTCCAATATCGTGGTCGTTGTCGAAGAAAAAGTTTTATACAGATGTTGCATGGCTTAAAAAGGGACATATCCTAAAAATATTTTATTGTATAGAGGGTGTCCCAAGAAATTAGGTATAATAAAGTTTAAAGTTTTTTTTTAAACCGTTTTTTCTATACAGATTTGGATTCAGCACAAAATTTTGCATAGAGTAGGTACTCTTTTTTTTACTATGAGGTGTAGCCATTCTATTTCATATTTACTGAATCTTTTATTAAAAACATTATATCAGAAAAGTGGTTATAAACTAGAGTGATGATGTAAAATAATCGTATGATCGAAAAAAACGGCGTCAGCGATGACTAAGAAATGAAGATGCTGTCATTTTATATGGGAAATGTCATCGATCGTCATTTCCCCGCCAACTGGACGCTGTTTTTTTTCGATCATACGGTATTAGCTATATTATTCTAAACACCAACAATAGCAGAATACACACGCGAAAAAAAAATTATATCATTGTATACAGGGTCATTTTTATAGCGTCGCCAACATAGCAATATTTAGAATGCTTTATCTCAAGTTTTTTAAATGCAACAACTTGTATATTATTTATCATAATTCTGAGATTATATCAACGTTATTGGCCAAATTATTCTCGTTTTTCTGAAAAACTGTCATTTACCAACAGTTTTACGATAAACCTCGAAATTTTTTTTGCGTTTAGTACAGATCGAAAAAAGGCGTCACAGTAACCTTCAAAAAATATGGCACGAGAGAGCCAAGGAACAATCATGTTCATACAAAACCGACTAGTAGACGAACTACAATCGGATGAGATTCTGGGAATGGTCTCGGATCTGACACCACCAATCCAACTCTTGACGCGCACCTACAACGTCCTGTTTCCGAATAGGGACGAATGGGATAAGCCGAGAAACGGCTTATTATTTGCGGAAATGTGTTGGTACACGGACGGATCCAAAAACGATAAAGGATCTGGCGCAGGAATTTACTGCAGCAGTCCAAAGACTGAGATCTAACACAGTCTTGGAAAACACACCACTATTTTCCAAGCTGAGCTATATGCAATTGAAACCTGTGTGCAACTGCTGGTAGAACAGCAATACACCGGGAAAACAATAAGCATATTTTCGGATAGTCAAGCCGCGTTGAAAGCACTCGAGGCAACGAAAAGTACGTCCAGGACGATTCTTCATTGTAAGAAACTACTCAATATAATAGGAGATGGAAACAAAGTGTCGCTAATATGGATACCGGGACATGTCGGCCTAGAGGGAAATGAACGTGCTGATTCCCTCGCCAAAACTGGTGCAGGTTCACCATTCGTGGGCCCAGAACCGACACTTAGCGTACCAAAAAATCTCGCAAGAGACAGACTCTGTGAATGGGTTGGGGGTGTAACGCTTCGGGACTGGTATGACAGTCCCGGAAGGGAACATGCCAAGACAATCCTAGCAGGGCCATCCAAACGTAGAACAGATGAACTCCTAAAGGCTGGTAGGAACGGAGCGCGTACGCTTACTGCAGTATACACGGGCCACTGCCGGCTGAGATCACACCTACAGAGGATGGGACTGGTGGAAGACGCCGAATGCCGACTCTGTATGGAAGATGACGAAACAATGAAGCACGTTATGTGTACCTGCCCCGCTGGGGGCAGGACCAGGTTTGAGGTGTTTGGCAAACCCACGCTAGACCTATCAGACCTAGAAGACATATCACCCTCGGACATAACGGCCTATGTTAAAAGGCTGGGTCTTGAGGGCGAACTTTAATGCTCTTATTCTATTAAAGAGCTTGTAGGAACTGAGCCACAATAGGCCCTCGCGGCCTCAGTGGAGGGTCCCACCTGGGACTCACTCTTAGTAAAATACAATATAAACCTTCAAAATGACGATCGATGATAAATTCTGTCGGGTCAAGCAATAACAATCAAAAATAAATATTTAAATGAAAAATTATTCACGCGCTAACTTACGCAGTAACCCTGCTGGTCATCCAATTTATGTGGTCGGGTGTAAATGCGTGTGACTAAGAATAATATAAATGACTGGTTGACAGACAGAGAAACGAAATCAAAAGCGACATACAGTATTGCCGGTTTTTTACGTTTGTAGGAAAATGTGTGTAGAGAAAAATATAAGCTATTTTAAAAATTTTTATGTATACTACTGAAATGGTGATAATATATCTAAACTAAATATATAATCTATTGCAGCTGTAATAAAGTGAGCAACTAAGAGTGAAAAATAAAGTTCCAACCCTAGATGCAACATTTTTCGTAAACGCCTACTTGTGCGGTTCGAAATTTTGATGCTAAATCCGGCAATACCGCATAGAAAAAACGTGTCCGCTCAATTTTTATCTCTTTTTAATACATTGGATTTTCCTTTAAGCTGTCTACATCACTATCTTACACGTTAAAATCCAGACCGCACAGTTTCGATGACCAAATCGGTATATATTTTTTTGAAAACAGACGTGTTCCAGTAACTTGTTTCTAAACTCTTAAGTAGTTGGTTCGAGAGAAATTATCAATTGTCATTTCACAGACTATTATGACGTCTTTTTCTCTTTCTCCAATAGCATAATAAATAGAAATAGGGTTAGGATAGTGAGAAAAATGCGGTATCCTTTCAAAGCATCTTGTCACATACGAAAAACCAGGTTAGTTTCGGTTAATAAAAGAACTAAACGTAAACACACATTAAAGCTACAAAAATATTCCTCAAACAAAACAAAACGAAACATAAAAAAACTTTCTTTGAAAGGGTACCCCAAAGCTCGTTAACGACGTCAATAAAACAAAAGACAGTTCGTTTTTTATATCAATTTATATTTCTAAAAAAAGTCTTTCACAATTAAAGATACGACATATTTCGTGAGCCAGTCTTGCGCCAAAATTGTTGGCAAAATGTCGCCGATTCTGTTTTCGGATGGGGGCATTCTCGAACAATTCTCAACAATCGTTAGTATTAAATCCCGTTTTTTCCCGTATGGAATCAGACTTTTCTTTTGGAGAATGCCCCGTGTACAAATTGATTTAGCAAACTCACATCCGGCACATTTCAAACCATTGTCTATCGAAAAATCAATCAAAACGTTTCTTGTAAGTTTTGACTGTTTTAAAAGAATTATCGATTAGACAATTATTTGGAATTTACAGTGTGTGGGAGTGACGTGACGTGGCCTGGTTACGTACCCTTCCAGCAAAGTTTTTTTTTGTATTTTCTTTATATTTTAAATTAATTGAGAGATATTTAAAAGCCTCTTGGGGTTTACTCTAACTCTTTTATGAATATTATTAGTCGCAAACTAATAGTAAACTCTATCCAGATTTTTTCAAGATATTGTAATAAATACTACTCCTCGTAGTCACAAATTATACCATTATCATTTGTTTATCAAAAAACGGCGTCATAGTAGTCCATTAAATGATAATAATTTCTCTTAAATCCAGCATGTCATTTATTAAAAACTGACAACATATACCTAGGGGTCAACTTGATAGATATTAATCATCGGTGGTCATTTCAAAAGTCACGACACCTTTTTTCAATCATAAAGATATCATGGTCAATAAAACGTGTCTTCTGCAGCCAATCACATTCTGTCACCTGATCCTGTTAAATATTGACAAGAATGTTCTTTTACAGAAACCATGCAAATATACAGGATGTTTCAAAAACTGATTCGGGAAAAGTTTACTGTTAGATTGCGACTTACCTAAATATTTGACAATATTAATATATAGGAGGTACAGATATTAACTAGCTAAGTTTTTTTCCAGCTAATTCATTTTTCGAAAAACAAATAACAATTTGTTCCTTGGCGTATTATTCAAATCTCACAAAAATGTATATAAACTAATATAAACAAAAATATTGTCTACTTTATCAAATACTTAATACCTGCATCTCCCTGTACAAAAAGCCTTGAAAGTCCACATTATTTCATTTTAATCATTTTTTTTGTTGTAAGATATACCCATAAAAACTTAAATTTTAGGAAATGTTTTATCAAAAACAAATTAACGCATTCACGGTCACGTTATTTTTTTAAAAAAGTTTTATATTGGACCGATTTTGATGATCTTGTTGTCTCACTCTAACACATTTAGAATTTATTAAAATATATACCAAAGAAATAATAATCTTTTGAGAATTGCAGTTTACATGGGTACACATTACAACAAAGTAAAATACCATTTTAATTATATTATGCTACACTTAATACAGCAAGAAATTATACCAGAAAAAAAAAATAGAAACTCGTTAAGTCAGTTCTCTAAGCTTAACTTGTGTAAGTCACCGAATATATAGCATGACAGCATATGGATCAATCAAAAAACTATATGAATAAGAAATTAAAAAAAAAATAAAAAAATAGTACAGCAAAAAACTATTGAAATTATAATCAAAAATTGAATTTTCAAACTGTAATACGATAATATTGATCCATATTATTGTTTAATATTTATTAAATACACCATATTTAGCTGACCAGGATAATGTTTAATTGTAAAATGACAAATGTTATTTCCTTGAAATAAAAAAAAAATAATCAAAAATACGATACTTTTCAACAAGCTGGTCAGCTTCAGACGAGTAAAGCAAAAAAAGAATATGAAATGAACATAAACGTAACTTGTAATATATACAACTGTTAAGGCGTTTTCACACGCAACGGTAAAATCGAGGTCAGTGCCGTACCGGTGAATTGTGTCAATTTTGCGGTACAATAGATATTTACGCACGGTGAAAAAAAGAAACTACTTCCAACAGCAGCGCACGGAAATATTCATAATTAAACCACAAGAAAAAGAAACTGCATTGCACCAATATATAGGGTGGCCCGAACTGTATTCCGGAAACTTCGTCAGTATATTCTGCAGATAAAAATAAGTAAAAAAGTTCTTATAAATGTATGTCCCAAAATGCTTAGTTTCGGAGATACGGGGTGTAGAAGTTTCATTTTTATTTCGATTTTTTCCAAATAATTTCTGAAGTAATGTCAATATTTGGATGAAACTTGGTATCTGGGAATTTTTGACAGAAGAAATGTGATTTTGATGTCAATATGACTCCTATTTGTAAGTGGCGCCACCTATATATTTTTAACTGGTTTGAAGTGTAAAACTTTTCGTACGTACCTGTATAAAACTACTGAATAAAAAAGTATACATTTACGACATTTTTTACGTAAAAAAGCTCTCTTGAGAATAATCTCTACGAGTAATGGTTCTGGAGATATTTGGAATCTAAATTACTAAACCTGTCATCATTGACATAAATTAAACATGTTGACAACATAGTTATTAGACTGAAATCATAAATTTGAAATGTTTTTGTGCCGAGTCTTATCATCATTTTTTCGAAGAAATATTTATGATTAAATAAAAAGTTCCCAAATTTATCATTTTAGTCAAATAACAATTTACTCAACATGTCTATTTTTTTGTCGATAATGACATGGGTTGATTATTTCCATTCTAAATATCTTGAAAATGGTTGCTCGTAGAGATTTTTACCAAGAGACATTTTTACGTAAAAATCACGGAAATGTATATTTTTTCACTCAGTAGTTTTATACAGGTACGGTCGAAAAGTTATTACTCTTCAAAACAGTTAAAACACATGTAAGTGGCGACCTCTACAAATAGGAGTCATATTGACATCAAAATAAAATTTCTCATGTCAAAAAACTCTCAGATACCAATTTTTATCCAAATATTGACGTTACTTCAGAAATTATTTGGAAAAAATCGAAATAAAAATAAACTTCTACACCCTGTATCTCCGAAACTAAGCATTTTATGACACACATTTATACAAACTTTTTTACTTATTTTTGTCTACAGAATATGCTGCCGAAGTTTCCGGAATACAGTTCGGACCACCCTGTATAGTGTACTGGAAAGTGTCAGACTGGACCTAATTATTGGACCATAAAATTTATAATGCTGTGCCAGAACAATTTATTTTGTTTGTCAGACATCTGTACATATCAGAATACACAGATTTTAACTTTTTATTGTATTGTCTTACCCGAGTGTTTGTATCAAATAAAATTCACATTTTACTATTAGTATTAACAGAAGATATCTCTTAGGTTTATTGTAACTGTGTTCGCCTCAAAGAAATGATTCCAATAACAATAAAAAGTATAGAGGTCGAGTCTCCATCGCTGACAAATCTCTGATCAGAGTATAATTTTTTTCCACCGGCTCCTTTTTTACCGGTACCTGTGAAAACGCCCTTACTATCGCCAATGGCGGAACAAGTAGTTCATTCGTTCCAATTATTTGCTGAAACTCAAACCGCTGAGACAGTTTGGGTTTCAGAAAGTTGGGAACTTTTTTAAAGTAAACAAGTGCGATTTACAACGCCCCAGTTTCGAAAATCATGAACAAAAGTAAAATACACGCATTTCGTTAGAAAATGCACAAATTTATGTTTCGTGAATCGTAGTACTAACGCGAACTTCGTAGACCACCGTTAATGATAAGAATATATTGATCTAATCAATTTTAATTCATACCACACCACTATTGTCGATAAATTATTATTGCGCAACTCCATTTAAAAATTAAAAAAAAATACAGTTGATGCACAAAAGGTCTTATAATTTGTTAAAAAAGTATGAAAATATCTCAAAATAATAGGCTAACAAACAAGATTGTCATTATGTCATTTTCTTAGAACATCATAAGCTCATTGTAATCATAAAGATATAGATCGGCGAGTAACCTATTCCTCGACAAATTGTACGAAACAAACGCATTTTAAAGGTGGATTTTCATGCTTCCGATATTCTATAAAGAGTAGAGGTAAAGAGAATCATCTCTTATGTGACTTTGTCTGAAAATGTGGTCACCTAAAAGGGAAATATAAAGGTGCGTTCACACCGGCTGCGCCGCTCAAGTCATTTTATAACACATACTTTTGTGCGCACTAAAAAAAATACACTTAAAGTTCATGTTAAAAAAACTTCAAAAGTACATGTTAAAAAAATGTTTTGCGCGGCGCGGAGCAGCGCAGCCGATGTAACCGCCCTTAAGGGTTCACTAAACGATCACAGTGGCGTTAATAAGCAATAAGGGACCGAACTGAACTTAGCGATCATAAAGTGAAAATAGTTAAAAAAGAGTGGCAACAAGCGCCTTCAAAAATCTCATATTTATCTGACTCTTTTTAATTATTTCCTGTTCCAAAAATGTTTGGTGCTTTTTTCAAATGTAAAACTTTTACTATACCAGCGCCATCTTAATTGTTCCCTCTTTCATGATTACTTTTCAATACACAAAGGTAATTCTCGTTATATTAATTTTATTGGTTAAATTTAAAGTCTTTGAAAGGTTAAAAACTTCTGTAGATTTTAATTTATTGCATTCTCATGTCTACGTTTATCGGATGATACAAATTAAAAATATTTGTCATTTTTTGATTTCATTACAATAAGTTTCCGTGAGATTTATTTACTAGTCATTCTCAATTTTTACTACTCTTTAAAATGTAAAATTATACAGGGTGATTGTTAAATAAATGCAAATATTTTCAGAACTGGTAGATCTTGATAAAAGAAACATGTTTTCTCTGAACCGGTTTTGAAATAAGTTCAAAATAACTGGGTTATTTTACTTTGAAAATTAAAAAAAAATAGTTTTGCTTAAATTTTGAGAGCCACTGGATTTTTTCTGGGTGTTAGTCCTTCTAAATTTAATATACTGCCCATGTTGCTAGATTATTAAGATATTATTATTATTAAAAAAATCCAAAGATTTCTTCAAAAATTCTAAATTCTCAAGAATTTGTTTCGCGAAAAAAGCCTCACAGACTTGTATCTGGGATCGAAATATACAACATCTAAAAATATTTCCACTCATTTAAGACTCACTCTGTATATATAAACTGAAAAGAGAATAAATAACCACTACCTGATACTGATAAATGTTTCAAATTTGTCGACAAAAAAGTAAGGTTAAAGTTAGAATAAGTCGATGATCGGAACAACAGACGGATGCATGAAAAGCTGCCTTAAAACACCTAAAATTTAAACAAAAGCGGTGAGTACATAGGCGCTAGTTCCGTAAAAATTGACAGGATAGAGACTCGCATTCTTTACCTATGGACATAGCAATTTTCAGTGCGTTAACGAGTAACAGTGGTCTGCGTAGTCGCGCTTATTAAAGACGCGTTAAAAATGAGTCGTCGGCCGGGTCAGTCTATGTATATGAAGTCGTTTGGAATTTTTTGACGTGTGAGACGGGAACAGCGGCGGAGAGCCTCACATTCCTCCGCCACTGCCCGCGGAAAACAACAGCAGCGGAACGCTAGGCCGGGGCGCGACGGTCTGGCCGCTCCTTGGGCGGCTTTCTCTCTCTAAGTCCCACCCCCATCACTTGCGCTCGATCGCCGAATCCGCAGTGGATGGACGCCCGCGATTGGCGCCACTGCCTCCCCTCGGAATGCGACCGTTGGGCGTGTAGCCGCCGCCCCTTCTGGGCGTGGACTTGTTGCGTCCCGGCCTCGCGTCCACGTTGTTGTAGTCCGCCTGGTGCTGTTGCGTACCCTGGCCGTAGCGGTCGCCGCCTTGGCGCGGGCCGCCTCCCCTGCCACGGTTGCCGCCGCGGCCGCCTCGCGAACCTCCCCTGGGTCCGCGGCCGTCCATGTCCGAGCTGTACCCGCGTTCGGAACGCCGTCCGCCCATGGAGAGGGACTGCATGGAGCCCATGTTGGAGCCGATGCTGCGCAGCTGCTGATCGATTTCTAGTTTGTTCTGGCGGAGTTGTTCCACTTCCTATAACATTTAGAAATGTTAGTATTGTACAATTGGTAACAGACTAAAAAAACGTTTTAATTCAACGACAATTTCTCTTGACAGGTGATAATCGAAAATTTTGAAGTATAATTAGTGGAAAAGTTAAAAGTTTGATAACTTTTTCTATTAATTGAAAATGTCTACCACTAATTTTGACGTTCTGAACGCTTACATTGAAATTTAAGGTACAAACTTCTACGCTAATTAAAACCACTAATTGCGAGGTTCTGAATGAAGTTTTACACTGAAATTAGAGGAACAAACATCTAAGCTAACTGAAATCACCAATGAAAATCGCTATCATTTTATATGTAAAATTTAAATGAAGAATGTCACTGATCGTCATTTCCAAGCCAGCTGGACGCCGATTTTTTACAATCATACGGTGTCGGGTGTATTGATATAAAATGTTGAGTTCAACCGGTATATTTCTAATTTCAATAAAACTTAATATTAAAATAATAAAAATTATAAGTTTTACCTTTAGGTGAGCTAAGTGATACTGCAACAAGACCTTTGCATTTGATATACTTTCAACGGTGCCTACAAACAAGAAGGGAACCTGCCCTTCTTCCCGTGGGATTGTCGGTTGAGGTTCGTTATCGCCTTCAATTTTTACCCTAACCTAAAAAAAAACAGAAGGTTATTAGTGAAAAAATCATGGAAACTCGTAGTTAACTTACCACTCCGCTTTTGTCTACAATTTCTTGTATAATCCTACCATTTTTTCCGATCACTTTACCCACCAAAGCTCTGGGAACTTGAAGGGATTCTTCACCATATTCTAACATCGACCTGAAAAAAAAATTAAAAACTTATACCAAACAGAAAATTGAGGAATAACTAATAATTCGCAGTGGCGTTTTTTACAGGAGACAAAAAATGTATACTCTATTTTTTTTCTCAGGTAAGATTTCGACAGACAACGACAGAAGAAAAGCAGATGACGTCCCATACCAATCTATTTATTTTACTAAAAAAAGTTTCTCATATTTTTTAAGTTATAGTATTTTTAATACCCATTTAGAATAACACCATCCTTATTTATTATTAATAAATCAGGTGAAACAAAAAATTACCAACAAAAATGAACGTCGATTACTAATAATTTGTTAGATGTCACGTTTTTGAAGTTACGTTTCATGTTAATGTCATAACGCAAAATAAGATATAAAAATGCGATATTCTGATGAATCCAAAAAACTTATGCTTAATGTAGTAAACTATTTTCAAAACGATTTAGGATCTCGATTTAAGGCAATTCAAAAAGCGTCCGAAGCACTAAAAGTCCCAGAATGCACATTATATAATCTAGAAAAACCAAACAGAGCTACAGATTTCGAATTTAGAAGAAATATGTCTGCAAGCGTTTCCCGGAGCAAAATCCGAATTACAAAGAAAACCCTACATTGTTTGAGGGAAGTAATTTACAAAATGTATGCGCGAAAGGATAAAATCACAGTAGAAACTCTAAGAGTCTCCAGAAACTAAGATTTCCAAAAGTTCGTTATATTTGGGAATTAAAAAAATGGGTTTTCATTTCAAAAAACGGGATGGAAGAAAACAGTTATTGGAAATGCCTGGAATCAGATTAAAAAGAATATTATTTTTGAACAAATACCATGCTGCTAAAAGTGAAAAGCTTTTTACACCTGTTTTTCTGGATGAGACATGGATTTTTAGTAAAAGCGGGGATAGAAGAATGTGGCAAGATGGTACTAAACACAGTGATTTAAAAAAAACTGGAAGTGGGACGCGATATGTAATTGTTCATGCCGGTAATAAAAATGGTTTTGTGGTAAATGCATCGCTAATTTTTAAATGCAATAAAAAAACAGGTAATTACCATGACAACATGAACACCGAAAATTTTGAAAACTGGTTTAAAAAGCAACTAATTGTAAACTTGGAAGAACCATCGTTAATTATAATGGATAACGCAACGACCACAGTCGCCTGGATGAAGAAATCCCAAGAAAAAGTTGGAGCAAAACACGCATGTTAGAATGGCTCAAAAAGAAGAATATTCCTTTTCCAGATCACATTTTAAAGGATGCTGTTTGGAATATAATTGAAAAGCAAGTTTTTCCGGAAAAAAATTATCATTTAGACAAATACGCTGCCGAACATGGTCATTGTGTTCTCAGGCTACCACCCTACCATTGCCATTTTAATGCCATCGAAATGGTATGGTCTGAAACTAAAAGGCATTATGACCAAGCTATTATGAAAACTGCAGGGTCACCTATTGAAGTCTTAAAAGTATGGAATGACGTTGTAAATAATGTACCGGAGCAACACTGGCAGAATTACATAAAACATACAGAGAAAATTATTTCTGAAGCATGGGAAGTAGAAAACAAACTGGATCTACTAAACATCGAACCTATGGTGATCTCTGTATCCAATGAATCCGATGATGAACTATCACTTTCCGAAAGTTATTCTGATTTAGAAAATAATTAAACTTAGCCTTTAAGATCACGTTGTAATTTTTTTTAAATCTAGAATTTGTACTTAAACGAGCCCTTAAATAAATATTATTACTGCTTGCTCGACTTCTTGTTATATTATTTATTATACTTTTAGTGCTTCGGACGCTTTTTGAATTGCCTTAAATCGAGATCCTAAATCGTTTTGAATATAGTTTACTACATTAAGCATAAGTATAAGCCTTAAATCGAGATCTTAAATAATATAGGTATTTTTTTAAGAAAACTCGGTATCTAGTTAATAAAACAATATTTTTAAAATTAGTGCGCTTCTTTTATATTTTTTTTATACGTCAACATCTTTAAATTTCATAAAATTAATTTTTATTATTATAAACCGCCACTGATAATATGAAATTTCAAGTCACTCCGCCAATGCAATAAGAAATATGTCAAGCATTTGACATGACAAAGGTCATAACCTATTTTTTTTCATGCGAGTTTAGATGGTGCAAGAAGCCGCATACGTTAAGTTACTAAAACGGCTGGTACCTCTAAATAGGTATTAAAAATACTATAACTATGGATGGGTTTAAATACAAATCCGTCATGCGTCGTCTCTTGTTTTTAATCCGTTTTATTGGTTTATTTCAAAAATGACAGATCATATTTCAATTTTATTGGTTTGACGGAACGATAAACGACAAACGAACGCCGATGAGGATGAACTCACCTTTAGATTTTTGAGGCTTGTCAAAGTCTTGCCAAATTATAGGTTATAATTTTGTGTCAACTTATGTCAAATATCTGCGTTTTGGAAGATGATGCATTTTGATTTGTGTTATTACGTGTGTTTTGTGTTTTTTGTCAAGTCAAGTGGAGGAAAAATTGAGGGAAAGTTAATTGTAGACCCAGAGCACAGTTTATAGTTAATATTCGCTGCTCAGGTTGAAAGTCCTTATACACCAATAAAGTTTGTATACCATCTCGTCGTAGATAAGTGCATCTCGTATATGGTACATGGATCGTATTAAACGTATACTACTGGAGTAGCTGTAAAATATCGACACGGTAGGTAAATAATGGATTTTGGTACTGCAGAAAGATAATGTCAAAAGGTACTGGCTTAAAAAATTAAGATTAAAGTTAATTAATCAACCAACCTTTGAGATAAAAAATTTGGTAAGTGTTATTATTAATAAAATAGTTTGTTTTATTTATTCCTGTGGAATATTACAAATTTGCATTTGTACATAAGTTATATTGATAAATATAATAATAAATGTGGGAAGTTTCTTGAAGCTTGAAAGTAAGAAATAGTTCTCTTTTATATTTTTTGGTATGTGGTGTTTTGTTCTTGCTTGTTTTGTATTAACACATACCTTTTTTTTTTAATAAAATAACTGGATGACATTTTTTCAGTTTTATACAGTTCTATTTTTCACAATATAATGAAGTAATCACTTTTTAAATATATTAATATTAATTTCCTGCTATACGTTCCAGTTGTACCAACTTATTTCTTTTTAAAATAAAATAAACTACTTTGAAATTAAAATGACAGACACATCTATCACTGTCAAGGATACTAAAATTTATGTAAGGGTGGGGATACTTTTCACCATTCCCATACTTTTTCTTTTTTTTTTGTAAAAGTCAAATATTAAAGCGCTTAGCAAAACATAGGCACCCCAAGTCTTGTTTAAATTCTTAAAATATCTTAAAAAAGTGTTTATTTATTTAAAACTTGATGCCCTCTAATGGACAAACGAAGCACTATTATATAGAAGTAAATAATGCCCAATGAACTTATTGTGATTCCTAAAATATGAAGTAGTTATTGTCTACGGAATATTGAGACATCCTGTAAAAGAATTTTAAGAACTACCTATAAAATACAAGATATAAAAAACTTACCTAGCTTTTTTAACCGCATCGTTACTTTCTCCGTATATCTTAAACGTACACGTGTTCTCCTCCAATTCAATGTTGGTTATCCCCTCCACTTTCCTCGCTTGCTGGATGTTGACGCCGTGCGCCCCGATGGCCAGTCCCATCAAGTACTCCTTGACGTGGAACTCGTCCGAGTAGCCGCCGATGGTGGCCAGTTTGGTGTTCTCCAACTGTCGGGCGGCCTCTTCGGTCCGCTTCAGGAGGAACACCTTCTGGGAAAGACTTCGAAAGTGCATGTCTTGGAGCAGCGCGGCTTTCTTTTTGCTGGCGTCGTTCCGGGATATCACAACCAGGCAGCCTTTTTCGGGATTGTAGGTGATTTGGCCGGCGCCGATGGCCTTGGCGAATTCTATGTGGGTGTCTTTTTTACAGCTGGAAAATTAGGCAGGGTTTAAGTGAAAAATTGCATAGTACGAAAAATTCGGAAAGTATTTTTATAATTTTTTTATATTTGACGTTTACCTACAAAGTTATACAGGGTGGTCCAAACTGTATTCCGGAAACTTTGGCAGCATATTCTGCAGATGAAAATAAGTAAAAAAGTTTATATATATATAGTGTGTAGGTTTCATTTTTTATTTCGATTTTCAGCAAATAATTTCTGAAGTATCGTCAAAATTTAGATGAAAATTGGTGTTTGGGAGTTTTTTGACATAAGAAATTTTATTTTGATGACAATATGACTACTACTTGTAGAGGGCGCCACCTACATATTTTTTAACTGGTTTGAAGAGTAACAACCTTTCGTCTGTACCTGTATAAACCTTTTTTACGTAAAAAAGTTGTCTTGGTAAAAATCGCTACGAGTAATGGTTCTGAAGATATTTGAAATCTAAATTATCAATACTTGTCATTGACATAAATTAAACATGTTGACTAAATAGTTATTAGACTGAAATCATAAATTTGAAGTGTTTTTGTGCCAAAAGTTCAACAAAAACTGTTTTATAATCATTTTTTTGAAGACCAATTTATGATTGATTTAAAAAAAGTTCCCAAATTTATCACTTCAGTCAAATAACTATCTACTCAACATGTTTTTTTTGTCAATTATACATGTATTGACTATTTCCATTCCAAATATCATGATAACGGTTGCTTGTAGCGATTTTTACCAAGAGACATTTTTTTCGCAAAAAATCACGGAAATGTAATTTTTTTCAGCTCTCAGCAGTTTTATACAGGTACGGACAAAAAGTTATTACTCTTCAAAACACTTAAAACGCATATAGGTCGCGCCCTGTACAAATCTCAAAATTTCTCATGTCAAAAAACTCCCAAACACCAATTTTCATCTAAATATTGACGTTACTCCAGAAATTATTTAGAAAAAATCGATATATAAATGAAACTTCTACACCCTGTATCTCCGAAACTAAGCATTTTAGGACATATTTATGTTTATACAAACTTTTTTACTTATTTTTTGATCTGCAGAATATGCTGCCTAAGTTTCCAGAATACAGTTCGGACCACCCTGTATATGTATAGTCTGTACAACGACTCAAGGAATATTTCGACAGACGATGACAGAAAACAGACAAATGACTGCCATACCAAATCAGATTTTAACTAATTTAAGATTATATAGTATAATCATACCAAATCAAATGTTTAACTTATTATAGATTAGAGGGCTTATTAACAGTGATTTTTCCTTGTTAACTAAACTATGAAGAAAAAATGTGTATTTTTTCTTCATAGTTGATTTGTTTTTTTTAAAATTTAAATTCGAAGAATAAAAATTTATAATAAAATAGTACAAGTGGTGTACCCTGTATACGTTATACCCAAATAATCATTTTAAAACTGGTCGGAAATTAATGTAAAGTCCTAAAGTAAAAATGTAAAGTCTGTCCAGCGAGACAAATCATAATTTTGACAGACAACATCCAAATATAACAGAAAAAAAAAATATTTTTTGTCAATATTATATACATAATATTACTTTTTTTAAACTAGTGATGCAACTGTCAGTCACTATACATATATTCTTGCTGGACAGACTACAAAGGCATTTTGATGATAACGCTTAAATCTAACTTACTATTCTCTAATATCCTCAGGAACTTCGATTTCAAATTTGGTAAACAAAGACTTATCGATTGGAGGATTGGCGTTTTTCTGCCTGAGCCTATCGTTACTGACAATTTCAGTATAGGTATTTTCCCAGCCAAGATATTCCAACACATAGAAGTCACCTTTCATCATCTATAAAAATAATCACACTTGTTTTATGGTTTTGAACATTTTTTGTAGGAAACATGCCAATTAATGTACAACTTAAAAACAATACTCAAACAAAGAGAAAAAAATAAAATAGAAAAAGAATAATCCATCTTCGATTACTTTAATTAAATTTTGTAAACTGCCTGTGTCCTTAAAATACATAAACAAAATGACATTTATTCAGGGGGTAGAAAATGTAATTTAGATATTGTACAGGGTGGGTCAAATTCGACGCTTTTAAATGGAAACACCCTTTTCTATAGGAGATAGACGAAAACTAATATCGGTGTCTGGAGCTCAATTTTCTTCAAAAACATGATGGTGAAAACCGCACATCAATATCTTTTACCATTTCGGAGTTAAGGGGTGTTTTTCAAAAATGTGCATTTTTAACAAATAGCTGTAACTTTTTTGCTATGGAAAATTTTGTATTTCTATGAAAACATTTCCATATCCCCTTTTTACATAGAATTTAATGGTTTAAGTATAATTTTTTTAAAATTAATAATTTAAGAATTATCAACAGAAAAATTGATTTTTTATTTGGGACACCCTCTATATTTTTAATTAACCGTAAAGAATTTAAAATTACCTTTCCAAAAATATAGCACACTTGATATTTTGTTACAATCCCCTTCGAAATACAGAATTTTTAAAAGTTCGCCACTTTTAACTAGTAGGCTTTGGACCCCTTATTGATGATATGCCCTTAATGGAACTCGAAAACATATTTTTCCAGCAAGACGACGCACCGCCTCTGAACGCTGAAGTTATCAGCAAATTTTTGCAGACAATTTCAAGAATAATTGAATAGCTAACCAAGATCCCAGCCGTTGGCCGTCGAGGCCGCCTGATTTAGTGCCCATGGATCTAATCCTATGGATATATTGCGGAAGAATAAAGGTTCCTTATTCCGTATAATCTAGACAAGAATTAGACATACTTAGCAGTTATGAGAGGGTATCTTTCACCCCCACTGAGTTAATGAATTCCGCGAGAAATGTTCAAAAACTACCCCGTCTGTCCATAATAGAAGACGGTCGATATGTCGAACACCTGTAGCAAAATTTCATGTCTTGGTTTGCTATTTATTTTTATTGTTATTAGATACAGTTTAAATGTGTTGATGTTGGTTAAATATATTTTAAATTGTTATAAAATTCTGCATCTCTCATAACAAATATTATTTTCATTTTAATTGATGCTCACAGCTTGAATTTTTTGCATTATAGCCGGTGCCGTTCAAAGCCTACTTATTTAAAGCGGGCAAATTTTTATATACTCTATATATCGAAGAGGAATCGAGCAAAATATCAAGTGTGTTATATTTTTGGAAAGGTAATTTTAAATTCTTTTCAATAAACTAAAAATATGCAGGGTGTCCCATATAAAAAATCAAATTTTCTGTTGATAATTCTTAAATTATGAATTTTAAAAAAATTATAGTTAAACCATTAAATTCTACGTAAAAAGGTACTTTGGAAATGTTTTCATAAAAATACAAAATTTTCCATAGCAAAAAAGTTACAGCGATTTATTAAAAATGCATATGCAGTTTTTGACAAAAATTGAGCTCAGACACCGATATTAGTTTTTGTCAATCTTCTATAGAAAAGGGTGTTTTCGTTTAAAAGCGTCGAATTTGACCCACCCTGTACAGGGTCCGGCAATAGTGCGTCGGGCATCTGTAGCTCCTAAAATAAAAAACCTGTGCAAACCTAAAGTACTAGGATGTATGTCAGGAAAATAATTTAACCTCTACAAAGTGGTTTAAAAAAGTGTGAGTGGATCGAGATAATTTTTTTTTAAATGGAACACCCTGTATATTATTGCATTCTTGTCTTCCTTTCTGATCACTTTACATAATCCTAAGATATTTTTAAATTTCTTTTCATAGTTTCAGAGATATTAATAAATAAATAAAAAATATATTTTTCAGCCTTTTAAAAAAAACTTAAAAATACAAGAGCTATCCCGAAATAAAATTTTTGCTATAAATCTCGTAATCTTAAATCATACAGGGTGTTCAAAATTCTACGCCAAACTTTCTAAAATATAAAATAATTTTTCTTCGTTTTTTTTTAAGTGGAATACCCTGTATATTATTATTTTAATAGACGGCGAATTGAAAAATGAACATTTTTTGTATTTAGAGAATTTTTATTATTATTTCATATGGCTCTTTCAAGGGTAAAATACAATTATTTCATATGGTTCTTTCAAGGGTAAAATACAAGAGAAAAATCCGCAAATATAATGTGAAACCGTTAAAAATTTTAAAATTCTCTAAATACAAAAAATGTTAATTTTTTAATTCTCCATCTACTAAAAAAACAATATACAGGGTGTTCCAATAATCCCGATTCACTCACTTTTTTGAGCCACCCTGAGAAGTTAAAATATTTTTCTGAAATACACCCTATAGTGTATAAAATGAATAACTTTGAATTTTGACCGTTATTTTTTACCAACATGGCAAATATAAAATCCCTTTGTCAAAAAAGTTACTGATATTCTTTAAATTGAGTCCCTGAACCAATCAGATAAGTAAGTCTTTTTACTCACAGACTATAGCAGTATATACTTAAGGTTTGGAAAACAAAATTGTTTATTCTAGGAGACACATACAGATGTCCGACGCACTATTGCCGGACCCTGTATAGTAAAGACTTCCTAAAAAATAAATTAAGCAATGCTTCAACAAAAATATAGACAAAAGTATTCTATTTCACATTTTTTCATATTAATTATGAATTAAATTGCTGAATAATACATTTTCTTTTAATAATATAATACCTACATATATATTAAATAATTACTACATATAAGTAAATACACATTATTTTTAGTATAAAATTTCCTAATGCTAGATAAGCATAACATAAATAAGTTTGTAATTATCTTAAAAAACATGACTAATATTTAATGAAACAAAAAAAAATAGATAAAACATAAATAATATAGATATTTGTTATCTAAATACTCAGTTCTTACAAAACTAAATATACAAAACCAAATAATGTATTATTTATTTAAATGAATAGTCATTTTTCTTTTATAAAATGAAAAATTACTCATTGGGAATTTAAAAAATGTTTATTAAAAACTTCTGAGACTTTTAAAAAACATCTTTTTAAAATCCTATCTCTATAGCATTAAAAGCTGTACCATTAAACAAAGAAAAATATCCCATAGATAAATAAACCCTACAGAGAATGTATTATTTATTTTTCTGCCCACTAAACAAAACTCTTTCATAATGAGATCCTTATTCACAGTAATATTTCACTGAATTTCATCAGTATTTACCAAAGTTTAATGGTCTGAGAAAAATAAATACCCAAGTACATTATTTACAAAATCAAGAAAGATAAATGATCAAAGATTTAAACTTACTTTTATCCTGGCTTTCCACCATCCATACCCTTCCTGATTGTTGGATCTGGAAAACACCTCCACTTCCATGCCTTCGGTAAATTCAATTTTGGTTTCTGGATTAGGTGGCAGCCTGGCTTGTTCATAGGGGAATTTTGAATCGGGTTGCCACCTTGATAAAAATACAAAAAATTAAACAACTGCATTCAAAATTTATGCAAATAAATATTTAATAGTCGTTATTTATGCATAAATCTTTGAAATATGAAATATCGATATATAATTAGTCATCTAAAGATTGTTTTGCTGTTCCTTTTAAACATTGGTAGTCAATAAGAGAAAAGATAAGATAGAGCCAATTGTAAAATACACAATTAATAGACTTACTCGTCTTCGAAGTGAACGAGAACACCGTCATCGTAAACGTCGACAATGAAGCCCTGGAAAGGAGAAAAAGAACTATAAAAGGGGCCCAGTGTCCCGAGGTGTAATTCGATACGTTCTAAAACATAACCTAGCCTAAACTTGCACAACGTTTCGATTTTACGATAATCTACATCTAAAGACTGAAATGTGGTTCTTTCGGAGGGCCATCGGCTTCGTAGGCTGGTATTTTTTCGTACACATGGACCTATCACGCCCTGTCAAACGGCCATGGCGTCAAAAGAACCGCGTTCGTTCGACGAGAAATTCGAAAAATTTCGCCGAAAAAATCACCAAAAGAACCACTTCCCAGCCGAAAATTGTCGCTTAACTTTCAAACAAATGGATGGAAATACTAATTCACTAATATATTATATACTTTAAATAATACAGACCTTATAAAGGGCTCCGTTTTCGCCGACAACTTCTACAGCTAGATCCTCCATGTTGATTTCACTCTTGGGTGAGGAAACAGCCTTGAGCTGAGAACGAGTCGCACTGCCGCTCTGCGAAAAACGGAGATGACAGATCAAATAAACCAGGGTCGTAATAAGTTAAAAATTACCATAAAACTTTCATTAAAATACCATGTTATACATCTCTGACGGCCAGGTTTATATTTATTTTCGAAAGTAATTTTGAAAGTTCTAAATTTTATTTATTGATAACTATAATAAAAACTCTCTGGTAAGAATTTTTATCATATTAAATTAAACCAGCCCTGAGTACTCCTCTGATAAAATATCGTTTTCTGTTTTACCGAGAAAATGTGACAGTTGACGGTAAATGGCTGGACTTTTAGTAAATAAAGTCCCTTTTAAATGCTTTTTGTTTTCTTTTTAAGTTGAATGTGATATAATTTTAGCTGGAGCTTTGATTTTAGCAAAATTATTAGTGTGAAATGTATTTACAAACTGAGAATGTCTAGCAGCAGCGACTCGGAGGAATTTTACGATGCAGAGGATATCACTCCCAATCACGGTACAAGGTATGAAGATTGTATAATGATATCACAGCTAATTAAAAATTGTACTTACATCTAAATAAACTCCCATGAATGCCTTGCAAATGTTCCGTTCGTATTTGACGGTTCAAAGCGTTTGACAAAGTTTATAAACAATAGAAACAAGTGTCATTTCTTTATAGGTATCTTGATTTGCAATACAAGTTTTCAGTGCAATAATAGGTGGAAGATTTTTAATAATTTTACGTCTAAAATAGGGGTATTTGTTTTAACAATTTCATGTTATTTTTAGAAACAAATCTAGGAAAGTGTCGAATGAAAGTCTTACAAAAAGGTCTAGTTCTGTTCCGAATTTTTTAGCAGCCAAAGACAATAATTCAAACAACCAAAATGAAAATGCCAAAAGTTTTGAAGATAAAAACGACAATGTATTTACAGCACCACAAAGTACATTTCCATCAAGCAATAGACGCAAATTTCAAGGTATTATTTTATAAACATTAAATTAGGATAATTTTTTGTTTTGTTCAATTAGAACTTCGTCAGAAACTAAACGATGATGAAGAACTTGGTGTCAATGTCACACCTTCAAATAGTCAAACATCTTCAGTTGAAGGTGTGTATGCTGCTTCGAGTAGAACATCACATCCTTTTAGGGTGATAGAACAAGATACTATGAGTTTGCAAAGTCTTAATTCCGTAAGATTAATGAGAGTCCTAAACAATACTTCTGGTATTTATTACCAATGAATTCAAAAAATTTGTAGAATAATTTGAAATATTTTTTTAGATAATACAAGGAAAACAATGTCAGTGTCAGCTCTATCTTCAAGTTCTCTAGATTCTGAATCGACTCAAAGCTCAAAAAAATATCCCAGTACCTATGCTTTATCTTCTACAGGTTTGATATTCTTTTATTTTATTATAATACAGGGTGTTTTATTTGAAATTCATATTTTAGGTACCAAGCAATTTACAACAGACTCTGAAAAGTCCACTCCTCTTCAAGAACCTGATGTTATTGCTAGCGCTAAAGCTTCTGGTTCAGTCCAGCCAAAAATTTCACAAAATTCTGATATACCAGTAGCACCACCGAGGCGTAAAAAGAAAAATAAGAATGCCAGTAGTTTGTTAATTTTGACTGTAAGAAAATTTTAGCTGAGTTTGTAGATGATTGCACTATTGTATATTTTTTTAGAAGTCAGCTTCTAGTGCTGCTTTCCCATCCGCTAATTTGGCTAGTCCCGCTAGTACGATAGAATCCTTGACCCGCGAGTTTGAACACTCTTTAGACAAACTTCCATCTGTATCAACAAGCAAGTCATACAAATCAGATAAGGTACTGATGGCGTCTGATGACTCTAAAAGTTCTACCTTAAAATCTGGTCACAGTTTAGATATATCGCAGGTTTGTTTAAAATTTTGTTCCTAAACTATTCTATCTAGTATTACAATGTATTAAAAAAGATTTTTTTACAATCAAATATTATATGAATTTAAAAATTGGTAATGTAATAACTTTTTTAAATTGTAGGTTTCGAAAGGACAATTTGTCGTTAAACCCCTGGATAGTCAGAGTATCAAAGGGCGTATACCATCACATAAACTACCTATTCTACCTACTATAAGTGTCTTAGAACATACACTTTCAGGACCTGAAAGGTGTGCAGAGCTCAATATTATTATAGTTTCTTAATTTTTGAATTTTATTTTTATGTCACAGGTTGACAACTCCTTCAGAAGACAATTCTAGTACTATCAGCAAGGCCTCAAATAGAAGCAGCGTGGGACACTATAGTTTGGGTCCACATAGGTTTGTATAATCTGTGTTATTATTGTTATTTGATTCACTGGCATTGGTGGGCAAAACTGTTATTTCTAAATAACAGTTGAAGCTGTTACTAAGCCTGTTACAGTGAAATTGTTTATTTGTTATGGAACTATTGTTATTGGACCTGTTATTATTTAGAAATAACAGGTGTCTGTTATTTTTATTGATTTTATTTCTAACAGTCAAAACATCATAATTACATCAGTAGTATGATCTAATCTTTACCCACAATCTTTAATGATAACAATGGCAACAAAATAAAGAAAAAAAAAGATAAAATCTGTATGTTACCAATCGATAATAACAGTCGCGACTCTTGTTGCGACGACACTGTGACTTACATTCGTCTAAATTGAGACATTGATGTTAGAGCACTCTTATTCTCATACCTGTTATTTTTTTAAACAACTGTAACTGTTGCGAGCCTGGAAAAACTCGGCATGTGAGGCAAAAACACTAGACATCGTAATGAGTGGACTGCTCATATCCATAGATAAAAGAAACAAGTTTAGATTGGAAAGTGCCCATAAGGGCAATCAAAATACTATTTGGCGCTATTCTTACAACGGTCGCTTCCCAAAGCTTTTGATAATTTCAGAGCGGTTCGGCTTTTTCCGGAATTATGTCGCCAAATATTATTTATTCAAATTTATTATTATTTTCTTTTAATGTTTTAAATAAAATACAGTGTGTTGCATCAGAAACTTTATTTTATATAAGGACACGTATGAAATACCTGATGAAACATTGGAAACCGACATTAATGCCACAATCCACGATGGTTTTTGCAGTTTGCAGTTCACACAGCTTTTTAAGTTTTTAATGCCACTTTTTCACAATTATCACGGGTTTGAGTAAATAAAATTTAAATTAAACTCTAACAAGGTAGCAATAATTACTTTGAAAAAGGACGCTTTTAACACTTTTCGGTATTTTTTCAATGAGGGCGGTTTTAATTTTGAAAGATTTTATAATTTTTGAAGATTCTCACTTTGACAAGCGAAAATTATTTCTGTTCTTGTTTGCGGTTGTTCTTAGCAACCGCTATAGCAGCGCCCTACAACGTATGCGCTCCAAAACAATTATATGTTTTAGTGGCAAGCCGAGCATTCCCATCTAAAGTTGTTTCCTTTAGCTACGGCTCATATCTGATATTTTTTTAAGTAACAACTATTGCTAGGTAAAATCATAAAATAATTAACTAGAAAGAAGTGTCAACTCTGTATTAAATCGTGGAAACACGATACGCCACCGAAAGCCTTCGTTGTCGTCTGGAGAACTAATTTTTCAATTGACAGGTTGACATGATAAGGACATGATGGCTAAACTTTCATTTCCGTTTCCGGTTATTCGATGGCGGGCCCTCTTTCAGTTCAAATGTGTTTCGTATTTTTTCTTTTCATAAATAAAACCAAAAAATAATTTATTCACATATATTTATTTGAAATATGGAACAACGTGACTAAATAAATATAAATATATAGAGGATAGTATTGTTTCAATACCAATTAGTTAATTATATGCACTTTTAACATAAATTAGTTAAGGTATAAGCATGACTTACAGTAATTTGTAAATAAACACACGTATTCGCAGACTTCAAGGACAGAAAACGGACACAAGAACATGAAAACGGGAGCCTTATACAAAAACCTGAAAACAGAAAAACAATTTTTTTTTATACTAAAATTAACAATGTAAAAATATCAATAGTTATAAAATATAAATATACTGTTTAAAAAATGCGTCCATTATTCCCAAAGAGACCTGGCTTATAAATCAAAAAGAAGCAAAAAGAGACTTTTTAGTCGGATAACATAATCAGATTATCAGTCCGATTTATTGCATTATTGATAATAAATCGCACATATTGGAGATAACTAATGTTGGCTATAGTTAAAAATGATCTTACCTTGCTGTAAATTGTTTCCATTTTCAAAAAAATCGCCGATCAAAGAGATTATAACATCATTTTCTTGCATCTAAAAAATGTAAAAACAGTGTTTATTTACTACCTATTTTTCATATGCATGGGACATACCTACTACTGCAGAAACGTCATTTTCCCCAGGATTCTTCATGTAATATATATTTTATATACTTTATTACCTTTATATTTATAAATTTCAGCCGAAATATTAAATTGAACTTTCAAAACACAACTAAACGGAATGAATTAAAATGGCGTCGAATATTTTCTAATTTGTTCTAGAACAAATCTGAAGTTGTCTCTGAAACTGAAATCTGTCAATTCTAAACTGTGAAGTTAGACAATAGTTAGACAAAAACAATGCTGTCCTTGTCTAGGCGGCCATACTTGTCGTGAGGAGAATGACAGGAATGACACTAATGACTGTTTCCAATTTTCCTATTTCACTGTCACCCCCCTGGGTAAAATATCGTGACGTAATGATCCCAACTTTCCATCTCAAACATGTAGCTAATATATTTATATCTGTTATATCCAATTAAATTTTAATTTAAATTTGTAACAAAAGTTGCGGGTCTGATAAAACTGGGGATGGATCAAAACCAACTTTATAGAACGAGACATCACTATCATCAGACTGTTATTTTTATATCTGTTATTTTTTGGAAGTAACAACAGTTACAAGTCTGGTAAAACTATCATCAGACTGTTATTTTTATTTATATGTTGATGTCAGCCTATTGTATGTTTTTATAACTGTTATTTTTTTGAACAACTGTTATTGCGAGCCTGTTATTTTCATAGCTGTAATTTTCTTGCAGAAACAACTGCTGCAAACTGTTATTTCTAAATAACAGTTCTAAAATAAGACAATTAAATAACAACCCGTCTCTGATCTGAATTATCTCAATTTTTTATAAATTTAAGAGGGACAAATCAACCGTCGAGCCGTCACAATTCGAAAGATCGTCGAAAATCTGCCGGGGATGAAAATCTCTTGTATCCGAATAATATGAAAGTCCGAACGCACACGGACTCCGGGAAACAACTGTCAGATTTGGAAATATTGGAACAAGTGACTGTTTTAAATCTGGACACAGGTGCATATTATTTTATACAAGCAGGTGACCCGGTGTTCCAAAAGAAACTTTATATCAGGTTTCCTTTTTGACATTAACAAAATTTGTTTAAAAATATTGTTGATATACAGGGTGAGTCTTAAATAAGTGCAAATATTTTTAAGGGTAATATATTTCGACCTCAGAAACACGCCTACGAAGTATTTTCCGCGAATTTTTTTTTTTAAATTGAAATTTTTGGAAAAAAAAATGCCTGAGTGCCAATGACTGGCTGAATGCCAATAACTGGCTAAGTGCCAGTAACTGGGTAGTTTACCCTCCTACAACTTTAGATTACTTTTGACATTTTCGCATATGGTTTATTTGAAATTGTAATATGCAGTTCATAACGACTCGAAATACTAAATGTGTGGTACCAAATTATTTGTAAAAAATGCTTCTAAATATACTAATGAGCCACCCTTGTTCCATTTGAAAAAATTGAGATATGATTAAAACTACGATTTGGGCATCTTTTAACCGGACAGGACAAGACATGACATACAGAAGACGATCAAATCTATTTTTCCAAGGCTCCTTCATTAAAAATTAGTGTTTTTAACACAGCCATGGCACTCTAGACTGAAATTTAAAATACGATTATTTTTTAAGGGAAAATGTGAAAAGTTGACATATGATATGTCATTCTATTGAGAGTGTCAATTTCTATCGAATAAAGTAGAAATATACCGAGGGTGCCATTTAAAAATCAAAAGTTGGAGTCATTTCCGGTGAAACAGGAAGTGATCGAAAATAATTGAATACGTCAATAATACTAATACTAACATTACATTACAAAACACTAATATACCAAATCTCGTTTTTTATCTGAAAAAATAAAAAAGTTATAGGAGTGAGCCACTTTTGAGACGCACCCGGTATATTTGGAGCATTTTTGACGGAAATTTTTTGAAAAAAAATAGAAAATGCCAGTAACTGGTTACCCTAGTACAACTTTAGATTAAAAATGCATTTGAATCATCCTGTATATTTACGAAAGTATTTTTAAAATGTGCGCTATTATAGTCTTTCTGGTATATTTTATGAAAATTTTGAGCACAAATACCAAATCGGAAAGCTGATATGGAGTATTTTCAGTACACTGTATAACTCTTTATTTGTGGTACATTTGAACTACTTTTACTTAATGCGATATAGGTGAAAGGGTACCATTAAGTGTAGCCGAGGATAAACTACCCCAGTGTATTAACCCATTGTCCCTCCATATTATGAGGTTAACTTCGGAATATGTCAGTTCTTCAAGCATGGAAAAAGAAAAGGAAAGTGATGAGGAGAGTGTGGATATCAAGAAATCTGATATACCAATCGTTGATGAGAATGAACATGCAGGTTAGTTAGTTGTTATATTAATATTTCGAAGATTTTTAATTTTATTTTAAATTTAGGTGTCAGAAAAAGAACGGCCAAACTAAAGAGGTTCCTAGGGAATAATGTAAAGAAAGCCATGCACAAAGCCAAAAGTATTGCCCATGAAGTGTCACACGCGAGGCATAAAGAAGATATTATTGATATCGTAGACAACGTGCATCCTGGAGAGCAAAACTGCAAGCTAAAGGTATTTTTGTTTATCGGAGCAGGTTGACACAGGGGAACTGTTTACATTTTTATTATACCGGGTGCGTCGTAAAAGTGGCTCGTCCCCTATAACTTTTTTATTTTTTCAGATAAAAAACGAGATTTGGTATGTTAGTATATTAGGATTGATTGACGTATTCAATTGTTTTTAGTCAGATCCTGTTTCACCGGAAATGACTACAACTTTTTATTATTAAATGGCACCCTCGGTATTTTTTTTACTTTATTCTATAGAGAATGACACACTGAACAGAATGACGTATCATATGTCAAACTTTTGACATTTTCGCATATGGTTTATTTGAAATAAATGTAAGATGAACGACAATTTGACTCGAAATAGTAAGTGTGTGGTACCAAAATATTCGTAAAAAAATGTTTTTTTCCGAATATGCTCATAAGCCATCCTTGTTCTATGTGAAAAAATTGAGATATGATTAAAAATACGATTTGGGTATCTTTTAACCGGCCAGGACAAGACACGAAAAACATTAGACGTACAAATCCATATTTCCCAAGTTTCTTGATTAAAAATTAATAGTTTAAGTTAAAAATTAATCCATGGCACTCTAGATTGAAATATAAAATACTATTTTTTTTAATTGAAAATGCCAAAAGCCGATGTCATTCTATTCAGAATGTCATTTTTCTATAATTAAATCAAATGTAATTGAATACTCCAATCAATCCCGATTTATGTCATATACTAACATATCAAATATCTTTTTTTATCTGAAAAAATAAAAAAAAATATAGTGGTGAGCCACTATTGAAAAACACCCGGTATTGTAAAGAAATTTTAGTGACTGTAATACATATAAAGATCTGGATTTTAGGCCTCGAATTCCCATAAAGGACCGTATGAGTTTGAAAAAATCGAACATATTCAGGAGCTGAAAGACGAACTAAGCGAAGGTCCTATATGGTGCATGAAATTCTCTAGTTGCGGTCGATTGCTAGCCACGGCTGGACAAAGTAAAGTGCTTAGGATATGGGTTCTGAAAGACGCGGTACCTTTCTTTCAGGTAACATTGTATTGCATCTTTTAAAGCATTTCACAAAAAGGTTTAAAGAAGGTAACCCTTTTGATTAAAAAATGCCACTAATTAAAAAAAACCTACCCACATTAAAAAATGCCACTAATGAACATGAAGTCATCATAATTCATATTGAAACTTTTCGCGGGCTCGCCAATTTTATACCTATTCTTTAGACTTTTTTTTTTTTCTTTTGAGTTTTTATAATTATAGATTTTAATTATTGTTTTCCCCAAAAAAATAGGACATGAGAACGAAATATAATGCACAAAAAGTATCTCCAACGCCTTCACAGGAGTCTCTAGGCTCACATAATTCGGCAGACTACACAAACTTGGCAGCACTGGAGGCGTTAAGTTCCGACGAAGCAAGCAGAATTATTTTTATGCCAAAACCTTTCTGTACCTATCTAGGACACACCTCCGATCTTTTGGACGTGTCTTGGTCTAAAAATCATTTTATACTGTCGTCTAGTATGGATAAAACTGTTAGGTATGTAATTTCAAAACTATATAAAGACTGTTCAGCCATCGTTCATCGTTACATCATCATAATGTGTTAATTATAAGTTTTAGGGTGTGTCTGAGATCAGTTCATATTGTTTAGAAAATTTTAAGTACCTTCTTATATTATTGATTGAGCGAGTTCCGTTTTTTAGGCTTTTATCCATTTTTTCTTGAACTGATCCCTTTGTACTGTTGAAATTCCTATTTCTAAAGCCCCATCAGCAACTCGCTATATTAGTTAAAACACTACCAATTTGTATTTTACATACTAATATTACACCTTTGCATTGCACTTACTTCATATACGGCGTCCACGGGCAAGAGTGTTCCACCAGCGTCACTTTCTCGAGAAAAATAATTTCTAAGCTTAGCTATGAGCTCTTGTTCATTTTGGTTAAATTTTTGAGGAATTTTTGCAATAAAAAAAATTGAATTTTGTTTTACAGCAACAATCAAAATTTATTTTTGACATTGATCGCTGTCCGTCAATAAAATTATAACCCTAGATCATATATACTTACGTGGATCAACGAAATCAACGCCATAAGTTGAGCATTAAAAAATATGACTCCAACATCACGACATGCCATTTTCAAACCTTCTTTATTGTACTTATGAAACGTTCAATAAGTTTGTCTTTCTCGACGACCTAACTTTACACATGCGCATTAAAAGTGGTACATATTTCCAAAATAATCACAATTTTATCCGGTTTAAGCTTGATTTTCATGCATCCGTTGTCCGACGATACGTTGATACGATATTAATTTTATTGGTAGAATTTAAAGACTTTGATTGGTTGGAAAATAACGCAGTTTTTAAATTTATTGCATTTTCATGCCTCCGTTTATCGGATATACGTTGGTGTCATTTTATATTTTCATTTCCATAAGGATTTTGCTATTTTACTTATATTTTTATTAAGGTTAGATTAAATTTGTCAAAAAAGTGTCAAAACGTCCGTTATCGTATGAACGGGTCCGTTGACGGGCTGAAGATGGGCTGAAGTAAAATATTTACGGATGAAAAGTGGCGCGAAAACGCTATGACCAATCAGAGCACCGTTGGACCAACGTATAACGGTTGCATGAAAATCAAGCTTTAGAAAGTACAAATTATACATTGTTATGGAAACCAACTTTTCACTGTCATCATATTATCATAATCTTGTCATAATCATATGTCATAATGTTATTTCCATTGTGTAACGACGCTTGTTTTTTGCGTTTTTTATACCTAAACATTGTATTAATAATTACTCTTTTATCTCGACAGCCTTTATATAGCCAAGGATGCAAGTGTGTTCAGTGAGAAGTTAATATTTTTAGTTTGTGCAATTATATTTCTATTTTTTTATTCGTTGGGTTTTAATTTTTGGTAAATACTCGTAAAAATGACAAGAAAGTGTTTGGTGTGTGGAAATTCTAATATAAATGTCCCCGAATTATCTTTTCACAGGCAAGTATTCAGTTGTTCTTTTATGTATATTAAACCACATGCATACTTTCTGGTAAGATTTCCTAAGAATATTGATATTCGTACGGAGTAGCTAATTTATTTTTTATATAATTTAATTTTTGTGACAGTAACATTCAATTATTGTTCAAATATCAAATTTGACGCGTGGGCGATAAGTCCTCGACAAGGATAGATAGAGTAGAAGCACCGCGTGTGCAACAAAAAAAGAAGAGAAATGGAAGTCGTTGATATGTTTGGGACAGTTTCCATCGTGATTTACTTATCCACGTAAATATATATGATCTAGGATTATAACCCCAAGTCAAATGACAAGGACAATTACTAAAAAGAATATGCAGTAATTTACGAAATTCCGTAATGACGTCACCAATCTCTTTCATCTGGTTGGCAAGTGAGTGAGAGAGTTCAACAACATATGACGTGACGTTGAACGATGGCTGAACATTCCATACTTAGTAATTTTCTAGTAGTTCAAATGAACCAAGTAAAATTTTCTTAGGTTGTGGCATATATCGAGAAAGGAATGTTTGTGTTGTTTTCAACATATCGATTTCGTAACAGCAATCGGTTTTCATCCAAAAGACGATAGGTACTTCCTTAGTGGTTCCTTGGATGGTAAGCTGAGGTTATGGAATATTCCAGATAAAAAGGTATTATGATACAACAATTTGAAGTAGGAAAAATTTATTGTTAATATTCGCAGGTGGCGGTGTGGAACGAAGTTGAAGGTAATTCAAAGTTGATAACGGCTGCGAATTTCTGTCAAAATGGTAAATTTGCCGTCGTGGGTACATACGACGGCCGATGTATATTTTACAGGTAAAATACCTAATACCCGTAGATAAGAGAAACGAGAAGTTTAGATTGGAAATTGACCATAAGGACAATGTAAATACTATTTGGCGCTTTTCTTACAACGGTCGCTCTCCAAAGCTTTTGATAATTTCGGTGTGATTCCGAAATTATGTGGTCAAATATTAATTATTCAAATTTTTCTTTTAATTTTTTAAATAAAATACAGTGTATTGCATATAAGAAACTTTATTTTATATAAGGACCTGTATGATATACCTATGAAACATTGGAGACCGACGTTATACCGCTATCCACGATGTTTGCAGTTCACAGTTCACACAGCTTTTTAAGTTTCTAATGCCACTTTTTCACAATTATCACGGGTTTCAGTAAATAAAATTTAAATTTAACTCACAAGACAGCAATAATTCCTTTGAAAATGGACGTTAAAACACTTTTCCGTATTTTTTCAATGTGGGCGGTTTAAACTTTGAAAGATTTTATAATTTTTGAAGTTTCTGACTTTGACAAGAGAAAATTATTTCTGTTCTTGTTTGGCGGTTGTTCTTAGCAACCGCTATAGCAGCGCCCTACAACGTATGCTCTCCAAAACAATTATAACTTTTGGCAGCAAGCCGAGCATTCCAATCTAAACTTGTTTCCTTTATCTATATGCTAATACCACAGAATACCTTTGCTTAGCTTTACAGAAGCGACAGTAAGACTACTCTTTTTTGAAGTCTGTGTCTCAGATTTTCTGACATTAGTTACATATTTTGACAGTTAAAGGGCACGGTAATTCCAAAGTGTGGGGCACATGCCGACGCTTACTGTTGCTTCTGTATAGCTAAGGTCCATACTTTAAGATGACTAGGTTAGACTAAATTTCTTTCTTTCACAGCACTGATCAACTGAAATACCATACTCAGATACACGTGAGACCGTCAAGAGGCAGAAATGCCATAGGCAGAAAAGTCACTGGAATTGAGCCTATGCCCGGTGAAGACAAAATACTTGTCACTTCGAATGACAGTAGGATTCGGCTCTACGACCTTAGAGATCTAAATGTCTCTTGTAAATACAAAGGAAAAGGTAAGAGAGGCAACACTTCGAAGTTCGTATAGCCATAGAAAACATTATTGTAATTTCAAAGACCACTGTGACTCTGTTTTTTTTTTATCTATGCTATATATTATTTTTATTGCAGGATATGTAAATAGAAGCAGCCAAATCAAAGGAAACTTTAGTCACGACGGAAAATATATAGTGAGCGGTTCAGAGAATAGGGATATTTATATTTGGAAAACGAATCATGACTATTCAAAGTTTTCATCAGTTAGGAGAGACAGAAACGATTTCTGGGAAGCCATAAAGGCACACAACGCTGTGGTCACGTGTGCAGTTTTTGCGCCCAACCCTGAGGTCATAATCAAAATGTTGGAGGATAATCAAAATAGAAACAGTAATCATGGTGAAGACACCAATAAGGTAACCCCACTAAATATACTTTTAATCACTTATTATTATAAGTCTATATCGACGTATATACAGGGTGAGTCTTAAATAAATGCAAATTTGCGAGTGCGCGAATTTTTATCGCGAAAAAAAATCTGAACATTTTGAATTTTTTGATTTTGTTTTGTTGGTTATTTAAAAAACATAATTTCTGATAATATAACAACATAGGTAGTATAGTAATCGCAAAACATTTTCCGATGCACGTCATCAATCATATCGACATTGATACTAAAGTCTATAAACCTGACTAAATGAAATTTTGGCAAAAATGTTTAAATTTGTTGTATAATTTAAGATACCGAGCAGGTCTTCATTTTAGTTTATAGAGCAAATGATTGTAACAGATATTTTATTTAGATTAAAGCTGCAAAAATTAGTTTAAACCTTTGAATAAGAAGACTAAGGAAGGAGCATATCAAAAATCTTACGTACACCGCGATGGGCCTCAAATATGGCCGACTTAAATTCCGGTTTATCAGTGTCGTTCTAATTTTATTTAAAAAATGTAAAACTATGATGTAGGGTAGACGTGGGGTAGACTCAATAATTTGTTGTTTTATTTTACGTTGTGAATAAATGTTGGTAGTTATTAAAATTGTCATTAAAATATATAATTCTAATAAAAATAGATAAGTTATAATAAGTATTTATTACCACATACATCCGATACGCTACTGAAGCAGGTAAGTCAAATTAACGTATCTAAATTCTTTGACATCTAATCTTTGACAAGTAATAAATAAAAGCTAAAATTCAAGAAAAATATATAATTTGGTTAATTTAAGTGAATTTCATAAATGATCGGTTTACTAGACGTATGTATATTATATAGTCACTTACTAGCGAAAAGTTGTTCCATTATTTCACTCAATTTTTGCCGAGATCTACCGCACGCTACACAACCAACTATTTTAGAGTCTTTTTCGATAAAGCGCGATAGTGTCACTGTTAATTTAAGTGCTGCCACAATTTCCATCTAGATTTACTACCTTTATACAACTATCAGTAGTAGAATAAATAATAAATAATATAAAATAAGCTCCGTAAAGACTGACAAATCCTCAAAATTTCAAATCAAATTCAAATGTGTCAAATGAATCGTCAAACAGAACTGTCAAGGATCCCCACCCTAGAGAATAGAATACATGGATAGCATTATGCTCCTTCCTTAGTCTTCTTACTCAAAGGTTTAAACCGAATTATTTTATTATCGCTATGTTGGTCACATTGTGCCGTGTTCAATAATGTTGTCCTTCATTATTTGACAATTATCCTAGTGTCAGTCATTATTTTGTATAATATCGTGTTGTTGAATATTTGTGAGTAATTCTCGTTTTTTGCCTAATTTCGTAGTCTTTTTTTAAAAATTGCACTTATAAGCACTAACAGTTCTTTTAAGAACTAAATTTTCGAGTTTTTGTATTGCATTTCTTGAAATTTGTGTGTTGAAAATATGCCGAAGCATTTAAACAGTCGAAGCAAAGAGCTTGTGGCTTCCCTGTTTTTTAAAACTATTTTGAACAAGAACGTGACAATAAAGGTCCTTTATTACCTTTGACTGCAGTCAGAAAAGTAAGTTTGTTTGATAAGCACAGTATACCGCTTTCAAAGTTAGGTTTTATTAAATTCTGTGATTATTAGTAAGTGCATTGCCTCTTACTTATTATTACCATTTATGGCGTTGTAAGATGTACATCAATAAATAAATAACCCATAATAACGCTTATAATAATCTTCATAATGGACTAGTTTTTGCCAATATGTAATAATTCAAATAAGCTATAAAACAAATAAATCAATTAATCACTAAAATATTAGTTATTAAATTAAAAATAAAACGTAAAACTCTTTAAAAAATGATATAATAAATATATTTTTTGTCAATTTTAAATTAAGATTCATCTCATAAATCCATCACAATCTCAACCATCACAATCCATCAACAAGTTGATCATTTGCAATGGAAATTGTTTTGCGATTACCTTAGATTAAATTTACAAGAAAGAAAACCCAGAAAAGATCCAGTAGTTTTCAAAGTTTAAGCAAAAAATCATTTTTTTTAATTTTCAAAATGAAATAACTCTGGTATCTTGGATGGACTTATTTGGCAAATATTTTATTTGGAGTTTATTTCAAAGATATTCTTTTTAACATTACCATGTTATTAAGAATTTAAATATGTATTAAAAAAATTGATGATAATGAGAATAGCATTGTCATATTTTTATTTTATTTAAACATTCCAGGTGGAAGACCCACTGGTGGAACAACATACCAAAGGCTGTGGAGGATATGTTCTAATTTCGGCAGATTTCAACGGTTGTATTAAAATTTTCGTCAACAAAACCAAGCCAAAGCATAGTTCATTACCTGTTTCTGCCATGGCGTGAAGTACAGTACAATTAACTCTACAACTTTAAATAAATATAACTAGTCAGACTTGCTTTTTATCTGTCAAATATTAAAATTACCAGCAAAACAATAAATTTAAAATTTAGAACGTTTTTAGAGTATTTTTAGTTCTAATTCTCAAGAAAAATAAATCAAACAACTTCAAATAAAAATTTGATTTCACCGTCTGAATAATTATATTTATCTTATGCTGTATTAAAAACACTCGGTATTATGTAGATAGAAAGTGTTCTTGTACATATTTATTTGCCACTTTTAATTTTACTCTAACCTTTATTGACTAATCATTCCATCATACCCTACGACCGAAAAAAAAAGCGTCACAGTGGCCCGTGAAATAATAAATTCTGTCATTTATTTAATTTTTTTTAATATTCAAAAATATATCATTTCAAGGGTCACTGTGACGTTTTATTTAAGGTAAGGCACTTGATACTAATGTATTCTAAAAATTAACGACAATGCTAAGTTAATAAAAACGGCACTACATTACTTGTAGGATTTTCGACACTTTTTTTAAAACAAAAACGTTCCTTATGACAACTAAAACAGGTGATTTTTACAAAAATTAATTTTAAATGTTTAATATATTTTAATTGTTTTAGTGGAGTGGCATATTGTGAAACTTTTAGATTATTTTATGGCCAGATATATTAATGTTATAAATATATAGTTACGAAAATAAAACGACTTGTTTTATTGTAGATTAGACTTTTTTTTAAAAATAACCTAGAATCTATATATTATGAGTTGTTGATGTATTTTAATTTTTTAACAATTTTGTAATTTTAAAAGGAGTTACTTGGCATCTTGTTCAGGACTTTTAGACCAAGATCTTTTACTTTTGTCGGTTTCTTTTGGAAGTGACCATGATTTACTGCGGCTTCTGGTGTTTTGTGATTTTTGTTCAGATAACTGCCGTGGGGTCATAAACTTGGATGAATCCACTGACTTCTCTCTGCAATAAAAATTTGAAGCTTGAATTAGCTAGGGTACTCTGTGATTTTGATGTATCTTTATTGCCATTCTGGTATTTTTGAAGTGAAACTTCTTTACACGCGTTGGCAGTAAAAATTCAAGACCGTGATACACGCGCGAGCTAGCGAGAGGAAAAGTGATAGCGGCAGTGTTGGCACAGCTACCCCAATCGGGGTAGATCTACCTCTTTGTAAAACAATTTAACCCCGCTATTTCGTAATAATCTATACCCCGATGAAAAATAAGCTTATGGTAACACTGGGTAACGATCTGTGCCATATGCGGCTAAGAAAATCTCTATAATAAACCTGATACTGTACCAATCCTGATTTCATGCATATTTTCATCAATAGGTTTATAGCTTCTTAATAACGAAGCTCAGAATTATAATTTACAGTTAGTAACAGTGGCGTAGCGTGAGTTAGGGGTACCCGGGGCGGAGAACCTCTAGGAGAGAGGTTTGCCGCCCCTACAGAATCCGTCCGCCGCCTTTATAACATTTCTGTGTCGCCCCGCAGGTACTTGGAAGGTCGCCGCCCGTGGCGGCTCGCCCCGACCGCCCCCGCCTTGCTACGTCACTGGTTAGTAACTCGCATTTTCATTGGAGGACACTTATATTTATTTCAAACCAATAATCAACGAGAATATTCGTATAATTTAATAAAATTATTGTAAATCACTATAAATAATGAATTGTTTGTAATTGAACTGTAATTTCTGTATGATTAATCCGGTAAATGAGGGAGATAAACAATTGTGATTGACTAAATTTTTATTTTAAGATAAAAATGTTGTTAACAACAATTTGAGAATTCAAATAACGAATTGAATATTGAATAATGACAAGACAATTTAGAGTGACAATTTGGTTATGTAAAACTTAGAGTGACAATTTTTATTATGCAAAAGAAATACTGGTTACCTAACGATTAACATTAAATTAAATAAAGATCCCCAACATGAATAATGAACAAAACATTTAAATAAAAACAGACCACAGACCACACAAAACAAACTGTTGGTTAGTAGCAAGAACGGTAAACTAATAGGATTGCTCATCCTCATAAGACGTACGTTCGCCTCTTCCCGCGCTTCAACTGACAGTTGTGACGTCATTGTAGTCCTTGTCATGATAGTGTGTATTATTGGTTGCCTATGGTAAACTAATAAAAATAACAGCTGAGAAATTTTGAGTTAATTATTTTGTCGATTTTAAATGCGAAAAAGGTGTTTTTAAAGTTTTTAGAGCTATAGAGTTTATAAAATACGTTCATTTTGTGTGGATTGTTACTAAGTGCTTACTATAAGTGCCTACGATATTGTTTATTAATTAATTTAAGGCAAAATATGGAACTACTCTAAAAAGAATGGCTGCAAAAGGTAATGCTAGGAACGGCTGTTTTTAAAAATGCAGTATGCGAATATTTAATACGATTTATACAGTTTTTTCTATACTGCAGACATATAAGGCGTTTAAATGAATAAACCAAATAATGAATGTTTCGCATACGGCAACCAATAATACACACACTATCATGACAAGGACTACAATGACGTCACAAAGCGAAGAGTTTTCGCATACACCTGGCAGACACTTTCGGCTGAATGAGCAGTCCTATTAGGTTAACTGTTCTTGGGTTAGTAGCAGTTAGTAGTAGTCAGAGATATAGATGTAGTAGTATTTTGGTTTAATGTCCACAGCTATCCAGCTGGGTGATAGAATTTTCGTTTTTTAATAAAAATTAAAAGACATTATAAAATTATAAAGCTAGAATAGTATACGGTTTTATATTAACTCTATTTTTTTGAAGTTTATAAAAAGCATTCATAAAAAAATAAATCCTTCAATTTTATAGGTGTTAGTAAGAAGTTTTACTTCAAATATGCGCACATAGTGCACACACATATTTTTTTATGTAAATTATCCCAATTACAGTTATAATTACCTTGACCTAGATTTGCTTTTACTTCTTTTATCTTTCCTAGACGACTTATCCCTAGATTTGCTCTTAGATTTACGTTTTTTCGATCTACTTTTACTTCTAGACTTAGACCTAGATTTCGCAACGCTTCTGTCCCGAGATTTCGACCTTGATTTCCTCTTGTTACTTTTCGACCTACTCCTATCCCTACTATCGTATCTCTTGTTATTATATCGCCTAGATTTTGATCTAGATCTCGATCTGGACCTGGACGATCTTCTTCTAGAATAACTACGACTTCTAGAACGAGAATATGAGCGTCTTCTGCTGTTTGACCTACTTCGTCTAGAGCTATGCGGAGTATATGAACGCGAACTATAAAAAAAATATATTTTATTTTGGTAAAAAATGTCATAGAAATTGTGTGTAGTAAGTAGTACAATAAACATTGAGTAAAAAGACTAAAGAAGAATAAAATTTGCAAGACCGCGAAGAATATGAGTGACTTGAATTCCCGTCTATTAGTGGCGTTCTATTTTTTTTAACATGATAAAATTTAAAGCAATAATTTTTGGTGGTTTGTTTTACATTCATTTATAGTATACAGGGTGGTCCGAACTGTATTCCGGAAACTTTGGCAGCATATTCTGCAGATAAAAATAAGTAAAAAAGTTTGTATAAATGTATGTCCTAAGATGCTTAGTTTCTGAGATACAGGGTGTAGAAGTTTCATTTTTATTTCGATTTTCTCAAAATAATTTCTGAAGTAACGTCAATATTTGGATGAAAATTGGTGTCTGGGAGTTTTTTGACATGAGAAATTTGATTTTGATGTCAATATGACTGCTATTTGTAGGAGGTGCCACTTACATGTGTTTTAACTGTTTTGAAGAGTATTAACTTTTTGTCCGTACCTGTATAGAACCCGTACATTTCCGTGATTTTTTACATAAAAAATGTCTGTGTAAAAATCGCTACGAGCAACCGTTCTCAAGATATTAAGAATGGAAATATTAGTCAATACATGTCATTATTGACAAAAAATAAACATGTTGATAGATAATTATTTCACTGAAATGATAAATTTGGGAACTTTTTATTTTTTCAAATTAATCCTAAAGAAAAAATTATGATAAAATAGTTTCTGTTGAACTTTTGGCACAAAACATTTCAAATTTATGATTTCAGTCTAATAACTATTTAGCCAACATGTTTAATTTATGTCAATGATGACAGGTATTGATAATTTCAATTCCAAATATCTCGAGACCTATTATTCGTAGCGATTTTTACCAAGAGACCTTTTTTACGTAAAAAAACGATGTAAATGCCTATTTTTTACTCAATTGTTTAATACAGGTACGGACGAAAAGTTATTACTCTTCAAACCAGTTTAAAAATATGTAGGTAGCGCCCTCTACAAGTAGGAGTCATATGGACATCAAAATCAAATTTCTCATGTCAAAAAACTCCAAGATACCAATTTTCATTAAAATATTGACGTTACTTAGAAATTATTTGCAAAAAATCAAAATAAAAATGAAACTTCTATACCCTGTATCTCCGAAACTAAGCATTTTAGGACATACATACACGAACTTTTTTACTTATTTTTATCTGCAGAATATGCTGCCGAAGTTTCCGGATTACAGTTCGGACCACCCTGTATATTTCTAATAAGAATGAGTAACTTAATGTAATTATTTAATAACAAAAATATAGACACGCTATAATGAATCAACTAAGAAAAATTCATAAAACTGATGTATCCCAATTATTTTCGACAAGTAGTAAATAAATGCAAGAATAAAAGATAATTAGTAAACTCTAAACAAATTTTTTAATTGATTGTTTAACTAATCGGAGGATTGCGATTATTTCCGACATTAGTGCATGAATATAGGGATACTATTTTACTCCTTCTTTAATCTTTTTATTCAATGATAGTTCTAGGAATTACCGGCGATTGTAACTGCGTTGTTTTTTGGGGTTGTAATGTGTAGAATATTCTTCATAAACATCTGGCGGGTAAGATCGTTTTCCCCCACCACCATTACCACGTCCACGGTTGTTATAACTTCCTCTACCTCTTCCTCTACCACCTGAAGAAGTAAAATATTCTTAAAAATTGAAAAAAGTATGTTACGCAGTCTCGAAAATAGAACTACAGCGTAAAGTTAGGCCTAATTTTATATCTTCTGATAAACTTAAAGAATAATCCATACTTTTATGGTTGATTCGTACATCGAGTATTAGTCCTTTGTGATTTTTCTTGAATAGAGTTAAGATAGGAAGCATGAACCAGCCATTAAACTGAAAATGTTTTCTCGGGTATGAAATTTTAATGTATGAATACCAAGATATTTTAACTGATAAAAAAAACAATAATTTTATTACATTTATCCCTACTCTAAATTAAAATTTAAAATGCTATTTTTTAATTGATAATGTCAAAAGTTGACATACGCTACGTCATTCTTTTCAAAAAGTCATTTTCTATCAAAACAAAACAAAATGGGTAGACAAAAAACTATAGTAGAGGAAATAGAGAGTGCCCAATTGAAAACAGCACGCGACTGCCTCAGAAGGTACTAAACTGGCTTCCACAAAAGAGAAGGAAGCGGGGAAGACCAAGGACAAACTGGATGGAGGGTGTCAAGAAGGCGATGAGCTCAAGGGATCTGCGTGGCGGAGACTGGAATGAACGAAACCAATGGCGAATAGGCATCGCACAACGTCGAAGGACGTTTTAAAAGCTATTCTTATATATTTCATTTTCTATCAAATGAAGTAAAAAGTACCAAGGGTGTCATTTAGAAATCAAAAGTTGTTGTCATTTCCGGTGAAACAGGAAGTGACCGAAAAGAATTGAATACATCAACCAATCCTAATTTATTTCATATACTAACATACCAAATCACGTTTTTTTATCTGAAAAAAAAACAAAAAAGTTATAGGGGAGAGCCACTTTTGAGACGCACCCGGTATACAGGGTGTATCAAAATAAATGATTTTTTAAAATTATTTTTTTTAATTGAGGAGTAGACTTACCAAATGCATTTTGCCCACTTTTTAAGATTTTCAACCAAAAGTGGCATTGCAAACTACATACACAGAGTTACAATATGATGGCAGAAAGGACGTGTTAAATACATTTTATCGCATTCGAATTAAATGGTGAAAATATCTTAGACTTTCTATGTGCTGTATGTCCATTGGCGGTAGACAATCAACCTAACCTAACAGAAGTTGGTTCTTGTGTGCTGTGGACATACTGCTGTTTGTCATTGACAGATGAAGTTTTTTTTTTGTACTACAACTTCTCAATTTTTTGAATAATATTACTTAAAATAATAAATGGAACTACGACTGGAAACCATATAGTTGAGGATACAGACCGTGGTAGCGGAAAAATAAAGAGAAATTTCACGTCTAAAGGACAGTCAACAGTTTTTTTTCAATTTTTTCACATATCATCAAAACTAGATTTTTCACATGTAAGTGTACTATTTTTTATGATTTTTATTCATTTTTCAAGTATACTAGGTTTTCGGTAAGTTTCTTGCAAAAAGCGTGACAGTTTTTCTAGAAAGTCTGCTGCTAAATTGACTTACCTCTTTGCATATTTCCTCTACCCATACCCCTCCCTCTGCCCCTATACATGGAGTAAATGTCAATTTCGGGAAACAACGGAGCAGGAAACGGCGTAAACACAGGCTGATAAGGAAAACCGTACATGTTATGAGAAGGCCCGTCTTCGAACATCAAATCGGCGGGATGTACGTTGGAACGAAGCGGATGATTTTTCACTTTCTGTACGCCTGAAATTCGTCTTAGTACGATGATTCGTCTTAGTAAAAACACCAAAAATAGGTTAGACTTACGATGATCTTCGTCCAATGACAAGTCAGAATCGGACGATTCAATATACTTTTTCGTTTTGACGCCATCGGATAGGATGCTTTTAAGCATTACCCTGCCTTTAACGGCATGGTGAAGTTTTTCTTTTTGGCTAAGGAAGTCTAATTCACTGTGGTTCTTCAGTCTTTTTAGCTACAATAATGTACAGAGTTAACAGTTTATTTTGTACCAATTTAGTGTTTTGCTTGTAGACTGACGGTATACGACGATACACTGTATAGTACGTCTATCCGTTCTGTTGCTACGAGGCATCCGTAAAGGGGGGAAACGATATTCTCCCGATGTTTCTCGTAAAAAATTAGACAACGCGTCCCATCAATAAAAAATCGACAAATTTGCAAGTAGCCAATGAAATGAGTGGACGGAGTGTTTTCTGTCGCTTCTATTTAGGTAGGGATTTATAAAATATATTGCTGTTTATTTAATATAGACACAGATCCAGTAGATGTACTTTATTAGAAGTTCTTATTAGAAGTGTATTAGATAACACAGTTTTTTTCAGATTTCAAAAATATATCACACGTAGCATTTCTTTTTAATAGTTTTACTAAAATTTGATAAAAATGTTTAAAAATTGTAGGTACTTATTAGTAGCACTAACAATATGTTTAACTTGAAACTAAAGTCTGTCAAACAAGTCAGGGTGCAGCCACACTATCCTAAAAACGGCGTATCGGCGTAACGGCGTAACGACCTTGAATCGATTTCCAGTAATTCTATTGGCTGACATTTTTGACAGATGAATTTGACAGATAAAATTTCTGACAGATGATTTTTTCAGTCAATAGAATTACTGGAAATCGATTCAAGGTCGTTACGCCGTTATGCCGTTTTTAGGATAGTGTGGATGCACCCTCAGGGAGGATTTCGACAGCCGAAAACCAAAAAATGACAGAAAATACAATTTACCTGTGGATTAAAACGACAGACACAACTGTCACTGTTATTGAACCTTTCGTTGAACAGACTATAGTCTTACCTTGAAACCAATAGATAGAAATAAACGGAAAATATAAAATCAAAAAGAAAGGTGTCAAGTTGGCTTGGAAATAACCATCGATGACATTCATATAATTTTACGTATAAAACGACAGCGGATCGTCATTCCCAAGCCAACTATGACACCGTTTTCTCGATCATATAATTTCTGTACTGAACAGATATGCATCTTACTTTTTTTTCTATTAAAATATTACATTTTAATAATTTTGTGTGAATTTTCAAGAAATATAGATATAGGCGCAAGAAAAAGTATCAGCAATTGCCATTTCATAGGCTACTACAATGCCATTTTCTTCGATCTTATTTTAAATACCTATTTGTAAAAATTGGGATGAAAACTTTTAAATAAAATAAAGCTTGAAATTTATAGACAAATTACAATAATAAAAAATCAATTAAAACAAATAGCATTATCGATCATAAATGTTGAGTAATTTTCTACACTTTTTTGTATTGTTTTTAGAAATAAAGAATTATTATTAAAATAGCGTAACAATAACATACCTCTTCTCCTCCACCTTCTAAAACATTATAATTTTGAACATCACCATAATTCTTCTCCTAAAAATTATAGAAATAACGAACATTATACAAAGTCAGCTTGTTTTAGTACTTTAAATGTATTTCTTATATTTTTACAAACACCTTGTATAATATTTAATCAATAACTACAGAAATTCAGCTAGAAAAACGTTTCTTCTAAAAAACAGGCCAATGAAATTTGTAAAATAAAATGTCAAAGCCAAAAAATGTTTAACTAAAAGAAAATCTAAATTTATTTCTTCTTCAAAAAAGTCCCTGTGGCAAGTTTCTTAAATAACTTGGTACATAGACGTAACATTCAACACTGAATAATTTTTTCACTAAGATAAATATCCAAATAATACACCAATTAATTTAATCATTTACATACATTTTTAAATATATCTACTTGAAAAAAAAATTTAAAATTCTTCAAATAATCTCATATAACTATATTTCATTCAAATACCTTTATTCTCCTAAAGAGTTCCTCAACCAGTCTAATAGCTTCCAATTTTCTTTGAACTTTAATCAATTTCCTTTCTTCTTTAGCAATTTTTTGGTTGATTTCATCCGAACCGCTTATCTCCAGTTTCTTCATTAACTTCGCTTTGCGCTTTTCTTCTCTCATTCTACGCCGTAATTCCTTCTGCGTCTTTATATTTTCTTCCTTTTTTCTAGAAAATGTTACTCACTTCTCACTACTTATTAGTCAAAGCTCTTGCAGCAAAGCACAGTACAAAAAAAAGGAAGTTATATATTAAACTATTCAGTAAAAATACCATGTTTGGTTTTATTTGGGTGCCAATACATTCCAATAATTATTTATGATTACGTTTGATACCAAAATAAAACCTTTAACTTAGATTATTAATATCTACCCAATAATATATACCAATTATACCAAGTTACAAAGTATACCTTTCTGCCTCTTCTTGTTTTCTCTTTTCCTCCAGTTCTTTCAGCTCTTTCTCTTCTTTTTCTCTAGCTTTCTTAACCAATCGATCTCTCACTATTTCCCTACGCCTTATAGAAGCATCACTAGAATTTAAATTAAATTATAATCACTATTTGAACATTTATTTAATAACTGTATTACCTTAAATGTTTAGTTTTATCAAAATTAACTTTTATTTCAACTTCCATTTCGCCATCTTCTTCTTTGTGAACCAATTTTTTGTCACGAAAATGATCCATTGCTTTAGTAAACCCTAAAATTCAAAAATTATTAGTGCAGAAAGATATATAAAACAATATTAAGACTACGTTCTTACCCATATAATCTTTAAACTGGACATAGCCTTCAAACCAATCCATTTTTTCAAATGTTGAGTACTTCAAGCCAGATATGTGATCTTTCATTTTCTTACGATAAGGATCACAAATTGGAATATCTACGTATCGGATGTTACCAAATTTTTCAAAGATCTTATAGAAAATTTTTTCTAAAATAAAAAATAACATGAAGAAAGTTTTTACGTGTAAATTGTTACTAAAGACACTCACCTGATGGTGTAACATCCTCCTCATTGCTTAAATGGTACGGGACAAACCATTTAGATGGTAAATTAGCAATATGAATAGTGTCCGGTCTTTCACCGGGCTTCATTTCGTTCATGTCTTTAGCTTCTGAGAAAAAAGCATCCCACATCCTGCGATTGGGGAATTCAGACTGGTATTCTGCCGCACGTACACGCATCAATTCACTAAATTCTTTAAGCTTGATCATTTTGTTATGAATCTTTGATACAATTCTCTCTAACTTCGAATACTTCTCAACTTCTGCTTCGAATCTAACAAATTCAAGCGTCGTTTTCGTGACTTTTAACACGGTAAATTCGTCGGGTTTAATCAATTCTTTCAGCCTATCCATAATTTCCCAATGAGAGACGCTTTTTCCCAGTTTCTTCACATTGGGAAGCTGCAGGGAAATGGTTAACTTCGCCAAAGGTCGTAAGTATAGTTGTTGAGGGATATAGAGCGGCTCTAACTCGGACGTGCTGGGACATCTCTGAAAAACATTCATAATTAGAGCTTTCTATCTGCTAGTTTAGGCAAATGAAAGTCTAAATTATAAATGCTTTCCAGAACTTAGAAAAAATGTAAATTCCGGCTTTTCAAACTCGTTGTAGGATTTTTTGATAAACTGTCACTGTCAAAAATATTAAATAACAAAAAAAAATAACTGTCAAATTTATTTGAACAATCTGAAGTTAGCTCTAATCATATACTTTTTTAATTAATATAAAGGCCTAAGCTGCCAGGACTATCCGGCCTTTTCAAAAACATGTAATACTTTTATATATGATTTTAATAAAAATAATTATGCAACTAGTAAAACACATGTGCGAAAAAATCTGGTTTAGGTTTCTTGATAGGGTTTTATATTTTTATTAATTAGTTTAGCGTTTCCCTACAATTATGAGGGGTGGAGATAATCCTCCTTACAATTTAATTGGCTTGTACAGAGTGCATCAAAATTTTAATATTATTATCATCTATTATGTATTTAAACTTTTTGGCTAAAACGGTTATTCATACTATAAAAAGTTGGGATATAATCTAGTAATGTTTTTAAATAGAATGATTATTTGGATATCTCATATACAGAATGTTCAAACAATTATGCCACTATTTTACTAGGCAGTTTAAATGGAAAAGCAATTTCTAATTCTTTAAAATATATTTTATTGTAATAAATATTGTTATAAATAACAAAAAATAAAATTATATATTCAAAAACTGCTTTGGTCTAATGTTATAAATTAATGTTACAAAAATTATTTACCCTAAAAACTATAGTAATGTTAGTTTGTCTTTAACAGGATATGTATACGCGTATTAAGTACAAGAAAAAAATACATATATTTCTAAACATTTAGATACTTTGAGTAGGTACACTAATTTGTATACAATTCCATGGGATAGGTCCGCACAAAATTTGATAAATATAACAACACACCTTTAGGCTGGAATATATATATTCCACTCTTTTTGTTCGCACAATTCCAAAACGCTTGTTTTATCATTTTATATATTATGAAATTTCCAAAATATTATCAAAAAAATAACACATGCCATATCGTTAGAACTTTTAGAATGATAAAAGGAGTGTTTTGGTGTAGTGTGCTCAAATTGAATGATTACTTGTGATCATTTTTAATCCATAAAAAATGGAGTTAATACAATAAATAATTACTAAAATTGGAATTACACATCGGAGATTGCTTAATACTGACCGTAAAATTAAGATAACTATACAAAAAAAAAAATTAAAATTAGATGAAACAACGAATGGAGTTAAAAAAAATATAAGAACGATTATACACGCACCAAGTGAAGATGTCGTATGATCGAAAAAAAAAACGGCGTCAAAGACGGCTGGGGGAAGTACAATCGATTATAATTTCGGCGAGGTCAGTCTCTAAAGTATCTAGATGTCATTTACTAAAAATTGACATTAAACTTGTCAAAATAAATTACACTTATTATAGAAATATTAAAACTGGATCATCAATCGTCATTTCCAAGCCAACTGGACGCCGTTTTTTCTATCATACGGTATAACATAAACGGAGTTTGTCTACGGGTTGTTATGATATACAGTTCCATATGAAATTTCCAATAGCAGCAATTCTCTTAACAAAATACACATGACTCAACATGCAGTAAACCCATATATCCATAAAGTTGATTTAGTCAAATCGTAGGTATTCTGTTAAAAGAAGTACCGTATGATCGAATAAAAACGGCGTCGGCGATGGGTATGAAATGAAGATCGCTGTCATTTTATAATGTAAAATTATATGGGAAATGTCATCGGATCGTCATTTCCAAGCCAACTGGATCCCATTTTTTTTCGATCATACGGTACTTCCCAAGAACGGTAAACTAATAGGATTGCTCATCCTCATAAAGTCCCGTTCTCAGAACTGCGTCGTGTTGCGGGCGACACAGTTTGACATTTCAAACAACCAATGGGAGCTGTACTAAATTTAAAATTGACGCAGCTGTTTGAATTTTGTACAAATCTGATTGGTTCTTTTGAAGTGTTGCTGGCGACAGTCGCTGTTTTGAGAACGGGGCTTAAGACGTACGTTCGCCTCTTCCCGCGCTTCAGCTGACAGTTGTGACGTCATTGTAGTCCTTGTCATGATAGTGTGTATTATTAGTTGCCTATGGTAAACTTATAAAAATAACAGCTGAGAAATTTTGAGTTAATTATTTTGTCAATTTTAAATGTGAAAAAGGTGTCTTTAAAGTGTTTAGAGCTATAGAGTGTATAAATACGTTCATTTTGTGTTGTGGATTGTGACAAAGTGCTTACTAAGTGCCCACGATATTGTTTATTAATTATTTTAAAGCAAAATATGGAAGTACTCTAAAAAGAATGCTTGCAAAAGGTGATGCTGGGAACTGGTGTTCTTAAAAATGCATTATCCGAGTATTTAATACGATTTATACAGTTTATTTTCTATACTGCATACATATAAGGTGTTTAAATAAATAATCTAAATAATGAACGTTTTGCATTCGGCAAGCAATAATGCACGTGTGTGTATTATTGGTTGCCGGATAAGGACTAATAACCATGACAAGGACTACAATGACATCACAAAGCGAGTAGTTTTCGCATGCACCTGGCGGACACTTTGGCTGAATGAGCAGTCCTATTAGGTTAACTGTTCTTGGGTACTTCCAATATAATGATGTTCTTTCTTTCCTCTATAAAAGGAACCTAGGCCAACAGTAAATCTATGGTCCGTTGTTATTATAGAAGCCTCTCACATTCCTCACTGATTACAGTGTCGTCATCCTCTTCCGAATCGTCTGTGCAGAGTTCATCGTCGTCGGACCAGTGTTCGAACTCCTCCTTGTGATGTTCCAGGGCCATTAGTGATGTGAACAAGGAGTCACAAGCTGAACACCTGGAAAGAATTTAACATAAAATTAGTGTTAGCCTTGTAAACGGGCAAGAATGCTAAGAATCTACTATGTGAATGAAACCAACGTGTTATTAGAGGTAGTAGTATAAGAAACTAGGCCTTCAATACGAAGTTTCGGTAAAAACTTGAATTTTTAATATAAGTTACTTTGAAAGAACAGCTTTTATTGAAACATTTCATAAAAAAAACACTTTTTTATATTGTTCATCCCTTCTCGGGGTGAATATCGGGTGAATTTAAAAAAATCTTAATTGAAACATATAAAAATATAGTAGCGATTTTTACCAAGAGACATTTTTTATGTAAAAAGTCACGGAAATGTATATTTTTTACTCAGTAGTTTTATACAGGTACGGACGAAAAGTTATTACCCTTCAAAACAGTTAAAACACATGTAGGTGGTGCCCTCTACAAATAGGAGTCATATTAACGTCAAAATCAAATTTCTTATGTTAAAAAAACATCAAGACACCAATTTTCATCCAAATATTGACGTTACTTCAGAAATGATTTGGAAAAAATCGAAATAAAAATGAAACTTCTACACACTGTATCTCCGAAACTAAACATTTTTGGACATACATTTATACGTACTATTTTACTTATTTTTATCAGCAGAATATGCTGCCGAAGTTTCCGGAATACAGTTCTGACCACCCTGTATACCTAATATTTTAAAAAAACTCAAAATTTCAGTGAGGATGCAGTCAATAATCACCACACAGGCTAATAAAACTACTTTTTAGCCTGCGTGGTGATTATTGAATGCATCCTCGCTTAAATTTTGAGTTTTTTCTTAACTTAGTCAGTCACGTCTAAACCTGCTGTTTTCTAATATTTTGTGTAATTATATTTTTTTCTATCTATTTTTACAATTTTTGCATCATCATTCAAACGCTTAAATACCACCTATATTAGTATTTTATTGTCTCTTAGTGCAGCATTCGAGATTGCTCAAATCAGCAACCGCCAACTTGTTTTTAAACAGATTAATTCGGAGGGTTTCAGAGTGACGGGCGCCGGCTTTGCTAAACTTGCTGTCGGTTGCTTTATTGCTTTAAACCCGATTGCGCTTTGTTATTTTGTCAATCAAGCCCTACCGCTATTAAGTCCAAGTTAATGCAATTCGACTGTATTGTATTTAGAGTTATAACTGATGGTAATGCAGCTGCCGCGTTCACATAAATGAGTTTTTCGTTGAGCTTTATGATTCAATATGTTCAGGTTTTATGCTTTCGAAGTCGATAAACAAAAACTATATATGTATACAGGGTGGTCGGAACTGTATTCCGGAAACTTCGGCAGCATATTTTACTGATAAAAATAAGTAAAAAAGTTCATATAAATGTATGTCCTAAAATGCTTAGTTTCGGAGATACAGGGTGTAGAAGTTTCATTTTTATTTCGATTTTTTCCAAATAATTTCTAAAGTAACGTCAATATTTGAATGAAAATTGGTGTCTGGGTGTTTTATGACATGAGAAATTTGTTTTTAATATCAAAATGACTCCAATTTCTAGGGGGCGCCACCTACATGTGTTTTAACTGTTATGAAGAGTAACAACTTTTTGTCCGTACCTGTATAAAACTAGTGACTGAAAAAATATTCATTTCCGTGATTTTCTACGTAAAAAATGTCTCTTGGTAAAAATCACTACGAACAACCGTTCTCAAGATATTTACAATGGAAATAGTCAATACATGTCATTATTGACTAAGAATAAACATGTTGAGTAGATTGTTATTTGACTGAAATGAGAATTTTGGGAACTTTTTATTTTTTTTAACTTATCATAAATTTTTCTTCGAAAAAATGATGATAAAACAGTTTCTGTTGAACTTTTGGCACAAAAACATTGCAAATTTATGATTTTAGTCTAATAACTAATTAGTCAACATGTTTAATTTATGTCAATGATGACAAGTATTGGTAATTTCGATTCCAAATATCTCTTGGGTATTTCCATTACTGGCTCTAGACCAAGACAGGGTTCCAATGATCCTTGCCTTACTAATTTATAGGCTTTTTCGTTACCTTGGATGCCACTGAAGCCCGGTACCAAAAATAATTTAATTCTGTTCCTTTCTGCCAAGACTCCCAGTTCAACCAGCCATTCTCAGACGAGTTTCTCTGAGGTTGCTTCTTTGAGAACCATTACTCGTAGCGATTTTTACCAAGAGACCTTTTTTACGTAAAAAACATCGTAAATGTATATTTTTTAACTAGCTAGTTGTATACAGGTACGGACGAAAAGTTATTACTCTTCAGACCAGTTAAAAAATACATAGGTGGCGCCCTCTATAAGTAGGAGCCATATTGACATCGAAATCAAATTTCTCATGTCAAAAAACTTCCAGGCACCAATTTTCATTCAAATATTGACGTTACTTCAGAAATCATTTGGAAAAAATCGAAATAAAAATGAGACTTCTACACTCTGTATCTCCGAAACTAAGCATTTTAAGACATACATTTATAAGAACTTTTTTACTTATTTTTATGTGCAGAATATGTTGCCGAAGTTTCCGGAATACAGTTCGGACCACCCTGTATATTAGTCGGTTTAGAACGTTTTTCTACGTTCGTTGTCCGATACCCAATTTCAGGTGTGGTCTATTCGTACAATCCTCTGTTGACAGGTTTCTTTCACTCATCGCTTTGTGTACGCTTTTTTGCTATTCCAGTTTCGGTCTTCCCTGTTTTCTTCTGCCCTTTGGTTGCCAATTGATTATTTTCTTGGGCCATCTAGTATCCTTCATTCGCTCTACATGTCCGTACCAGATCAGCTGCTTTTTCTCTATATCCTGTGTTATCGTACCTTCCAGACCATTTGTTGTTTTATGGCATTATTTCTTATTCGTTGTTGTCTTGAAATTCCTATTAATCTTCGAATGGCATCCATTTCTACGGTCTCTATCCTCTTCTTGTATTTCTCAGTTATTCTCCATGTTTCTGCTCCATACAGGAGGTTGCTCTTTATCAAACAAAATCTAACCTGAGATAAATCTCAAGTCAAGTTAATAATAAAACAGTTTCACCGAGAATGTCTACATTAAATTAATTAAAATCGTTATTCATTAATAATTCAAATCTAATCGGTGGATAATATCATTAAAAATAAGAAGGATAGGAAAACAATATAACATACAAACATCTTTCAAAACACAAAATACACTTAGATTTATTTTATTACACACTAAACCAATAAATACTGGACAACAAACAGAAAATGTAATACATATACAAAATACAATGTCAATGCGATCAATTTTATATTGGTGATACATCTAGACCCCTAAATGTTCGAATCAAAGAACATAAAGATTATTTAAGAAAGGGAGATTTTCACAAACCTAAGATTTGTCAGCATTCATGGGACACGGGACACAGATTTTAACAACGCCAAAATTATAATATAAGAAAAAAGAAAGAAGCGATAGCCTCTAAAAGAAAAATAAAAGAGGCTTTTTTAATACAATCTAATAAAAATAAACGTATTGCTCATGCATCTGTAGATGTTAGTAATGTATGGCAATCGCTTCTTTGATTTTAAAGAACATAACATACGTAAAAATTAAAAAACAAATTAAAAATAATCATACAGAAAGTTTGAGACTTTTTGGTTTTACCTTATTAAGTAATTGTTATCAGGTAGTAATTGTTACTTTTGAAGTTTATCTTGATATTATAATGTCATTTTAACAGAACGTCAACGGTTTTTGTAGACGTATCTGTTTAAAAAAAAAAGTGTTCTCGAATAGTTGCATTTAAATATCTTAAATAGTTTTTTTTTCTTTATTCTTTGTATTTTTTTGCTTCCGACGACGGAAAGAGATAAACTTTCCGAAACGTTAAGCATTTTTTTGTTCGTTAGGCAAATTTGTATATTTGTAAACCTACCTTCTGACAAGTAGTTTCCGTTTGGGATTAACGCAGAAGTGTTTACAAAAAATAACTATTTTATTTTGTAGATTTTCTTGCAGTGGCGTAATACCCATATAGGATTTTTTTCGATAAATAGTGTATTTTACTAACCAAACAAAAAAATTAAAAAAACCTTTCTCAATACACTATATTATGGTAAATTACTAACTTTTAGTCATAATATAACAAGATATGATGAACATTTTTTAAATTGTATAAGTTACGAAATGAATAGTAACATGAAAAGTACGAGTAAAGACATTTCTTTATCTTCTATAGTTATACATTGTTTACAGGGTGATTCTTAACATATACGCATAAACTTGGGAAATTATTGCTGATGACAAATAATGACAAATAATGAAAAAAAATGTTAGTAAAATATTTTTAGATTCTGAAATAATTTGAGTTTTTTTTTCACAAAAATTTATCAATTTTATCAGTAAATGCACATTTAATTTAATGGAATTTACGTTTTTTCTTTTTATTTCAAATAGTTTGTTATAGTCTAAGAGCTAGCAACGTTTTCGAGAAAGTATTTTAAGACGTCTGGCTCTTTGATATATCTTTTACTATGCTCTCTGGAACAGCATGTGGCCCGTCTGGCTGTCAATACCCGTTGCATTCACTACTTGCATCGGAAGAAGATCCTATATTTTTTATTAATTTAGTCCTATAAATTCTAGTATTGAATATGAATCAAACATGTCGCAGTACGTAGAGTTTTCGACCACGAACCGATGATTCAGAGTTCGAATCCGGGTCAGGTCAAAGACTTTTTTAATTTATTTTCGTTTATATTCTGATAGTAAAGTATTAAATAATTCTGGTAATTAAATAAAAACAAATATTTAATACTTTACTATCAGAATATAAACGAAAATAAAATAAAAAAAGCCTTTGCCCCGACCCGGATTCGAACTCTGAATCATCGGTTCGTGGTCGGAAACTCTACGCACTGCGCTATGGAGACATGTTCGATTTATATTCAATACAAGAATTTAAAGGATTAATAAAAATATAGGATCTTCTTTCAATGCGCAGTAGGGAACGCACC